TGTGGAGGGACAATTCACTTTAACTTGAAATTGGTCTTTTACGTAGTTGTAATATTATATACGGCATACTCTTCGAGTGTTTTGACATAAGTACGTGTAGCGACAGGTCGTCCTGTGCACTTACAATTCTCGTCGACGGTATGAAAGACACGGGTGCGATTTCCTCACATTTAGACTATACACGTTTTTTTATATTTTCACATAGACACATAGAAGGCTCGTCCGTTTACCGTAACGTCGTACTTGTGGAGTGTACATGTGGGAAGATGGAACAGGTGGATCTATATATTCATTAACAACCGACCGGACACCGTATATAACAATGCATAACGAACACGCTGTACTTGAAATAGTCTATAGCTAACCCTGAAACTGAGGAAAACCCACCAGCAAGTTAGAATATACATACATATAGAAAACACACGACTGTATCGTGCACGATCTATTGTACTTCTGTTGTAACCTGTTTTCTCTCACCCGATGTGAAATGGAAGGGACTGCAGTCAACAGGACGAGACGTTAAAGCTATTACCCATTGATTATTAAATTTCTTCATCGAGAAGGGCATTGACATTTCTCTGGTATATACAAGTAATTACAAGTAAATTCTGTCCATAGTGTACGTTCTTTCTGGAAAAATGAACCAGACAAACATTCCTTAATTGAGTGTGTAGAATAAAATCCGTTTTTTTTTCGATAGAGAAAATTAACGCTGCATGGATGTCTTTTCTTTTATTTCCACGTATGATATAAAAACGGCGACCCAAGCGCCAATATTGCACTTTATGTGTTCCAATCTGCTTACGTAAATCCGTGAAAAGACTGTAGAACAGGTGTGAAAAACAGAAGCTTACAGGTAGAATCTGTTGTATACAGGAGCGTGTATTGAGTCTTAGTGGTTAAGAAATTAGAGTTTTTTTGTGTTCAACGTTAGAACTGTTTTCATCGGTAGAATTTGCACGATCAAGTGTACGAATCAGAGAGAAATGATTGGCTGTAGAGTGTTTTATGATTCTTCATTATAAGCTGTGTATTTTCTCACCCGTTTTGGTGTACAAGTAGTTTTTCCGCTATCCAACCTTCAGAGGTTTAACGAAAATTATTTTGCTGCTGATGTAAAAGAAGTATGCTGAAACTGAGATTATGTTGTGTACCGCGTTGTAGCTTTTTTCGCAACCCTCTCCAAACGTAGCCTCTGCTAGACCTTCCTACGGGGGTACGGATCGTAAAATTTGGCAAAGAAATGGAAAACAATTGTTCAAGAGAGTCAGTCCATAGGAGGGTTAATTTCCCCCTCGGAAACTGCGAGGGTAAATTAAATCAGTGGCTAAACTCTAGCCTCTACCAGGCTTCGGGAGGCAGCTGGAAAGAGTAGAAATTGGACAAATAGAGAGATAACAATTGGGTGCGGCAAACTGTACTCTCTAGCGAACCAATGCAACTCCCCTGGCATGTTATCTCTCTATTTGGCCAATTTCTACTCTTTCCAGCCACCCCCGAAGCCTGGTAGAGGCTTGCTAAATTAACTCCCCGGGTTAATCATTCTACCTATTTGGCTAAACTTTACTGTTTTTGAATTCACGTTGTTGGTCTGGTGGAGAGCACAGTAGTTAAGCAAATCGGTAAATAACAAACACGTTCTGCGCGTAAACTGTTGTCCTTGTCGATAATTTGTTTACCAACACCGTGGGTTTATCAGCAATGTGTTATCGTGTTGGAGAGATCCCACAATGACTACTGCACTAATGAAGCACCTCTTCAGAACACTGATAGCGAGTAGAGGGTGGCTTGCAGAATTACCAGAATAAAACAAACGCCCAAATCTTCACTTCACGTGAGATACCGATCACTTCTTCCGACTTACGTGGGATTATAGGCAGGCGTTGATTGAGATCAAATTAATGAGGGAGGAGGAACATAACTACATGTAAACGTAAACATCACCCATTGTTAACTGTTGATTTTTTCTGTTGATTCTTTTCACCATCTTTTCATGCATTGGCATGTAAAGTAAAAGAACATTATATGCAGCAGTATTTTTACTGAATCTGCGTTTTTTGCAAAGTTTATAAAATGGCAATATATATATTGTAGAGATCTTACAGAACTAGCTATTCAGACCTGATCGCAAAACCACTGTACAAAAGAGTTATCAAAAAGAATAAAAAACAGCAAATACTTGTTTTTTCATACATGGCATTAAGTTAATTCTTGTCGTCAACTGTAAAGGCAAAATCCGCCCATGCCCATTATAAAGATTTCAGTCGCCAGTTTTGGTATTTCCTAGATCCAGTCACTTCTTCGTGTTGAAGGATCGATCGCAACAGAATTTTCAATATAATATCTGTCATCAGATAACAAGTAACACCGTTGGATTCTACCAAGTTTCCTGGCATAAAAAAGTGGTATACATTCTTCATTTGCTTGTTTTAGTCTGGCTGTATTAAACGCAGTAAATGTGTTATTTGTCTTACTGAGAAAAAGAAGAGCAAAATGACAACATGTGTGACAACACTATTGGCCGATGAGGACTGGATTGGCAACACATTATGTACAGAGTTTAGATAGATTTCTGCAACATTTGAAACTTGACCGCTTTGGAAACAGATGTCTGGACATGGATGTGGGTAATGTCGATTCTCAACTTCCACTCCAGTTTGTAAACGGACACCGCTAAACCCTCTGAGAGTCCCAAACGACATCCCTCCTTCCCTAAACTGTTCGCAATTTCCTTTTCCGGTATTCATACCGCGCGCTAAACTGACACGCTGTGGAAACCGCACGTAGCCGACACAAAAACGTCGTCTGCAGATCCCCTCAGAACCGGCGCTGACTAGAATGGTCCAGCGCCGGCGGGACGGCGACATATGGCCCTTGTCATAACATTTTCCACTTCCATTCATCCTCGCCACACAACATTAAACATGCTCAGCAATGATGCGCTCACAGAAGACCAGTAAAAGTGCTCCCTTCAGGGCTCGAAATTAAAGGTGGTCCAATGGCCACGGACCACTAAAATGTAGGCTGGGACAACTAAAAAGACACTTTGGGACATTTTTGGGACAATAGAAAAAATAATCAACATCGTAATGTCAGCCCTTCATTTGTTTATGAGGCATACGTCCCGGCCTTTGGATCAGAAAAAAAGTCCCCCCGAATTTTCTGTCTACTTTGCAATTACAGTGCGCCTGGGAGTGAACATAAGCAAAATAAAGTTGACTTCATGTTGAAGTCATACAATACTTGGGACAGTTCATCCTCACTTCGGGACAATTGAAATCTTATTTTTGGGACGGTGCTGGGGTCGAAAATAGGAAGAAAATTTAATTTCGAGGCCTGTTCCTTTCGTCGTTCTTAATGCTTGACGTAGCCTCGACCAGACTAACAACGTGGGTTCAAAAAAAGTAAAATTTAGCCAATAGGGAGAATAATTGACTTAGGGAGTTAAGCCAACGTACTGTTGATTTTCCCGCGATATTAACTGCGAAATTTACTTCAGTTTTCACCTAAAGTCAACTTATTACCGAATTCTAAGATCCGAACCCCAGTAGGAAGGCCTGGTGGAGGCTATGCTTGACGTACGTCGCTTTTAGTTGACGCGGAATTCCGACTATATCGGCGGGATGTGCGCCCTTCACTCGCCGGCGGGGCCGGTGACATTTCGGCTTGACCAATTATCGGCTTGGGTTACCGTCTATCGCTGAAAAATGCCGGGAACGTCCCACAATAACAGACAGGGTGAAAGACAAGTGTCTTCTGACGTAACCTTGACCCACAATGCATTCCGAACTCGTGCGTTGAGTGACAGGTGGAGCAGGCGACGTTTAACTTCATTTCCTACTCTGAGAACCAGACGTTTGACATACCAACTACTCTCACAAAACCATAAGGAAGAGATAGAAATGAAATAAGTGCGACAAAGTTGAGTGAACTTGGCAAAAAAGTTTCTGCAGTGCGTCTGGTTGACTATATTGTGTTGCTTTGTCTTGTTTTCAATGCTACAAATGTTGATCATTTAAACTCATGATAAACTCACATCAATTTCCAAAATTCTCAAAACAAGGCTCATACGAACCACTTGCATGTTTTGGGTCACATAAGGGAACTGTGAAGACTGATGTTTGTTCACCTTTAATTGTAGAGAGTTCACTTTTCTCCACGACTTCTAAGAACAAGAACCCTACACCCTTCCGTACATGTGAGTAACCCGTACTGAAACAGTGCAGTACGTGTGTTCCACCGTGTAAGGGAAACCCGCGCCATTGTCCCGGTAAATCCTTGGTCGTGAGCTCCTCTGTCATCGCTGGAATCTCCGCATTGTGCCCGCCGGAACTGGAGAGCGCGTCATCGGCAAATGGAACTCACGTAAGCCGCCATGACGGCATCCAGTTCTCACCCTTTTCTTTCTCTCTTCCTGTCTAGATCTGTTTATCTCCTTCTCTCTTTCCTTCCACATATCTCCGCCCCTTTCTTCCCTCCCCTCTCTCTATCTCACTCTTTCTCTCACTCTTTTCTCTGTGTATCTATTAGAAGACAATACTTAGGAGGTGAGTACCAAGGGATGTTTGATATATTCTGATGATCAGAATGACCCATTTGATTTTTAAGCATTTTTCAAGTCAAGAAGAAAGGTGTTTACACTTGATATACCTAGGCAATTAGCAAAACACTTTCCCTGTCTTTTAGACAGGGATGTTACTAGTACTCAGTCAAGAGGTCGGGAGAACGTGGCAATGCAGTTTGAAGTCTTCTCGTCAGGTGGCAGTTCGTATTAACTTTCATAGCTTGAACGAAACCACTATTGAACGGGGGGGGAACTGAGAATAACAAAATATTTCAAGTAAGGAAGTTAAATATTTAGAAAAAGATTGTAAATATTTCTAAGTAACAAATTTAACAATGTTGATCTGCTTCACGCTACATAAATCATATTTTTATGTAAAATAGCGGTGTATAGTAGCTTTTTAACACCCCCATTTTATAAGTGTACTAATCTATATTCAAAATGGCGACGGTAGGCTGTTTTTTCGCAACTTTCTTCTGATCTTCCCCGTTTTTATCCCAGTATTCGGCAGAACAATTGTCCTCGTCCCCCAACTTCTGCAAACTCTAGCCAGCATGTCTGATTAAGGTAACCCTGAGGTTTTTATGTAATTCTTTTGCGTTGTTTTGTTTCGCTGCAATGTTTTATACTGGGGGTGGGGGCACGGTGCCACGTCTCTTGCACACCAAGTTGCTATGCAGGTTTTGGAGTAAAAACAGAGGGCTAGGAAAATGCATGCAGCTTTCTCCTGAAAGCCTTTACTTGTAAGCTTGTGGAGCTTAATTTGGGTGAACATAGGTCTGTATAGTAGTCTGTATGAACGTACTGAACTTTAAATGACGTGTGTTGTTGCATACGTACATCATCATACATCATTACATGAGTGTTACAAAAAAACCCACTCGTATACTATGGGCGTCAAATAATTTGACAAGCAGGCTGGAGTGGGGTGCACATGTTAACAATATCACAACTCAAGGCTTACCGATTTCCTGGCTGGGTCCAGATTATGCCGACGCTGTCACCAGTGTAATGAGCCAGTCCTTGCTCTGTCCGCCTGCCTGAAGGTTTATCAAAGGAAGATGAGACTCAGAGATGCCATGGGCTAGATGTGGAGTCGTAATTTCTCATACCATGTGCTAGACTGATCTGGTTCACTGGACTAGCCTACTCACCACCGGGGGTGGCGGGTTCTACCATTCCCTTGAAGGCATCCAGTGCAGTTTTCAGGGCTTGGAAACCCAATTTTTCAAAGCTAATATTCTAGTCACTTATCTACATACTGAGTTGAAACCACACTGTCCCAATGTATATTGACCCTCATGGAGCAAAAATTCCCAAAATTCTGATGGAAAATGGTTACTGGAAGGGCCCTGGGCTGATTTTTAGGGTACCACCTGGAAGATAAAGGATTTGTTTCTGCAGTTTTAAAAGCCCAAAGTATGACGTGCTTACTCAAATGTGCTGATGTGAAGCAGTATGTGTCAATACTTCACAAAGATTGCCTTATTCAGAATATTTCCAGTTTTGCTGCCCTGAAATCACATTGTATGCCTTGAAGGGGGACTACTACAGACAAGAATATTGGATTGTTACAATTACTAGAGTATAACATATATCCTTTATCTACCACAGTATCAAGGCACATCTAGAATGTGAGACAGTCCTTAGAATCATCCCATTCCTTCCCAGAAGACAGCAGGCCAGGCTCTTGAGTGAAGTTCCCAGTCCCTGTGTGCAGTCTGCATGTGTGTGTGGAGGAGGAGGTACCAGCGATGTTTTATCTTCCTGCTCATCGCCAGTACTCTCTCACTCATCTTCCAAATATGGTTCATCCACAGCAACCCGCAGTTTCAGGTAAGTGTAATTTCATATATTTATGAATTGTTATAATGTTATTTACAATAACCTCGGAGAGTGTTTAGTTATGGTTTCAAAAGGCGATAGATGGATAAAACAAGTATAAAATAGCATGGAACTGTATAAGTACTATAACACTATACTTGATATAATTGTTTTTCTTAACAAAAGATTATAATAGTACAGGATTTAAGGTTTTTCAACTTTTTCTGACATATTAGGGCAGTGCCTTTCAAGGAATGGTGAACAAGTGGCTCAACCCTGGCAACAAGCATGCTCAGGTGAGTGACAGTACCTTACTGATAAATTTTAATGTTCACATTGCTCAAGTCTGTGTGTATCTGTATAACTGCCTTTTGACAAAAATACCAGCATTGCAGCAGGTGGTAGTAGTATTACACTTAACGACCTGTTACATCTAACATTTGCACACCTAACTGCATTTAGTACAGTAGATGACCCAGAAAGGAAACTTTTATGCCTTAGCAGTAACTAATAGTAGAGGGCCCAGGACTTTATCAGATGGAGAGAACATAGTTTGTGGCCTTATAATGCTTCAGAATGGGCAGTTGGCTACTACATGTATTAAGTAAATAATGTTAGAGGTCCATGATCTCTGAATCCCTTTCTAGTACATTTGTATCGGCTGAAACAAGAAAGCTGCTTAGAAGTAAAAGCATATCAGTGAGTTTACCTGCAGTTTTTATTCCACCAGGAGACCCTGAAATTGTTTGTAAAGCACACCTCCCAGGCCGACCTGCCACTGTTCCTGATGGACCCTGCTGTACTGTCTGCTGTGAGGAACTCTTCACATGGTGCAGCAGATGACAGGAGAGGCACACAACACTGTAGATATCTGTGTAGTTCTCAGGGAGTCATCACACTGGGACTGCTGGGGGATTCTCATATAAAACTCAAGGTAGGTTCTGGAAGTAAAGATAGCTTTGGTTTGATATTGTTTCTTAAGCTTGCTAACTCGGGCTTAAAATACATTTGTCTTGAAATTACCTGCACAAGTGAGACAAATTTTACCTGCACCCCTCAGAATTTAGGAAATATGGGTCATACTAGAAACTATTCAGAAGCCATTGCCATTATATCTTTTAAAGTTTTATACTTCATAGATGGTAATCGTCAATGCAGCAAATAAAAATCCACATCCACATGTATATATGAACCCAGTTCATAGACTGGTGCAGGTTAGGTGCAGGTAGACATCAGAAATACTTGCACAGCTCCAATTTTATCTGCACTAACCTGCATACACAGGTGGTCTTTTGAGCCCTGATAACACTGGGTACCATCCTAGTTAGATTTGTGTTACCTTTTCACTGCAGGGGGCAAACATAAAACTAACTAGAATGATAACCAAAACTGCAAAATTGTGATGACTTATTATGTTCACCATGTTTTTCAGCCTGACCTGTTGCAGAGTCTCCATGCTGATGGTTTCCAGTATGTCATCACTGAAGGTCACGACCCCAGACTGGCAAGTGTGGCATCCATGGCAGCTGGCAAGGTCAGGTGGGGAGGGGGCATCTTCAAAGTCAAGCATTCTCTATCCCAATCTTCACACTGGTAGTTGATGGAGTGAAAGTGTAGTATTGTGGATGGGTGTCATGCTCTCATATTTAGTACATTGAGAAACCACGAAGCACACTTTTAAAAAAGAAAAAAGAGACATTCCTATGTGCATTGTCCAAATGCATTGTCCATCACTTAATAAGCTCATACTGCCTAGACTGCTATCCTCCGTAGTTACTGCTAGCTCCCTATTGGTAACTACAGAGGACGGCACCCAGTGTAAGACTGCCAATTCTGCCTAGTAGTTGGCATATCTAAAGAATGAATACTGTTTCCCTACCTAGGTACCACATCACATGTTGTTCAGAAGGCAGGACTCTGTTATCCACATTGTTGTGTTGTACGAGCGACCGGGGAAGTTTCTGTGGCATGCTGCGGTGGAACCAGAGAACACACAGAAGTGGACATCACTCGTAGGAGACAGGGAACTACAGTTTGGGCAGTATGAGGGGGCATATGACAAGTAAGTGTCAATCATATGTACTAGTAGATGCCATACTTTGTAGCCTGTACAACTGTTGTGCAATAAAGTTATATTTGACTATAGTTAAATCAAACACTTCATTTTGTACCTAACCCGTGAAAGCTTTCAAGGTGTCCAATGCAGTTTTTGGGCTTGAAAACCATAATTTCCACAGTCAATATTCAATACTCTAGTCTTTTTTTTTCTTTACATTGAACCCTACTGGAAATGAATTGTTGCTTTCTTGAGAAAGCATCTCATCTATAAAACCTTTTATCTACTTTGTTGCTACCGGTATCTTTGGAAATAGTGGTTAATCTGGTGTCAACACTATATTCTTGATACGTTCACCATAAACTACAACATGTATGTTTACATTACAGAATGGAGATAATACCTACCAAACTGGATGGTGTAAAACTCAACATTCCTAAGGACCCAGCAGCTTTCCTTCAGCAGATTCCACAGTCCAGGTTCCTGGAGTGTGACTATGAGCAGGCCAGGAAGTTCCAGACATCGTACGGGTCCGACCAGACTGTGGAGGATGTGGAGTTTGTAGGGAAAGCCAGGAGTCTGTTGTCTCAGGGCAAGGCAGTGCTGGATAGGATAGGTGTACGGTTCTGGATGAGCAGTGGGACATGTTTAGGTGGGTAAACATGTCAGCAGAATGTACTGCGCCTGCGCAAAACCCCAATTTTCAGCGTTGTATCAGAATTTTACGATATCTTTCCCAATACATGTACAATATTTGGAAACTACAGACGGGATCCTTATACAAATGTACAATGTATATGCGCGAATGCGACCTTGTGAGACATTCTGCTGTAGTGCTATGCACAATACATTATGGGTTTCGTGCAGGTGCAGTATGTTCTGCTGACGTGCTGGTATGAGGGAGCATGTTGGAAGAATGTACTACATCTGTGTGAAGCCATGGATGGATGTTTGGTCAACAGTGCATCAGAATTTTGTCTCTTGCATCTTTCCTGACATGACATTTGGAAACTATAGACATCTCCAAGGATATAAGCTTGGATATCTATATACCTCTAAGGATATAATCCTTGGACACACGAAAACGACTATATGTTCTGTAGAAGTACTATGCACACTATGTTCTGGGCTTTGTACAGGTGCAACAGGTTTTGCTGATGTGCTGTACTAGGGTAGTTGTAGGTATTGTTTTGCTCACTTCTATTGAAAAAAAAAAAGGCTATCATACAAAATGAGAACAATAAGAACACAATTGAATTGATAAGGACAAATTCAGAAGGAGTGAGAAATCAAAATAAAGCAACAACACAACATGTTTAACACATGGCTGGTGCAATACTATATAGAAGTATTCAAAGTAAAAGAATCTTCCTGAGTGAAAAATAGAATTAAAAGCAATATCAAATGTGCTCTACCTGTATGTATCTTCCCCAGGTTGGTTCAGACAGTGTGGGATCATCCCTCACAGTAAAGATATGGATTTTGGGATCTGGATCAAGGATTACAGGGACACACTGATCCCAGCATTCCAGGCTGCTGGTCTGTCTCTCAAACACAGGTTTGGGAAGGTGAGGTTTCGTTTCTTCTTATTAGGCCATACTGATTTGTTTATATGATGACAACATCCCTTGGCACTGCAAAACTGTGTGAGTAAACAAAACATGGTAAAAAAAATTGCCTTCATTTTGAAATTTAAGTGGTCAAGAAGGTTGGAAATGACTGAACAAAAAGAGCATGGTATATCAAACAATCATCATCAGCACTAGACAGTAGAATCTTATTTTTCTTCCATGGAAAAAATAAGGAACTAGAAAGGTAACATTTGCAAAGCAAATGCATAATGTTTACCTTTCGCATATGGTCTGCTCTGTTAATTCTTACTCAAACACTTTCATACATCAGCAGTCTAAATCAGGAGTCTAAATCCCTCCTTCTATAAAATTGCAACATATGTAACCCAACACCAGTTACCATGGTGAGAGACAGTCTGGTTCATGTCATTGACCAGGTCACAGGTCATTGTTTGGAACAGGAGAAGAAACAGAGCAAAAACAATGTTTTCCTTTGGTAAACATAATTACAGTATCTGATGCTATCACCATTTCTCTCTCAGGTGGAGGACAGTTTTGAGCTGTCCTTTCAGTCAGGAGATGTCAAACTGGACATTTTCTTCTTCTACGAGGAAGATGACATCATGTGGAATGGTGGGACACAGGCTCGCACTGGCAAGAAGTTCAAGTAAGTTTACATTCTTTTTAAAAAGATAAGGAAAGTTGTTAAGAAATCCTGTCTGATGAGCCACAGGCAGATGTTTTGGCAAGAGATGACTTTATTTTGCTGCTAAACTACTTACGAAAATGTCTCCCATGGCCAGCTTTATATATCTTTCCAGCCTACAAAAAACTGCATTTCTACTAGCACATCCCAATTCATATACATGTACTTTGCAAAACATCAGCATTTCATACTCCACTGAACTTGCAGTTAGCCCTCAGGCATAGATTTGCAATAAAGTTGTGATTCATTTAAGATAGAAGAGCATGTATGGATCTGGTTGTAATGTATGTAGTTGTTATGCCAAAAACAGTTACTCAAGCAACTGGATATGATTTTGAAAAATGTTAACTGTTTTTGGCGTATCGTATTACCTGGATGTCTAACCTTCATCGACGTATGTAGTTGTTACATGTTTGGGTTGGTGTTGCAGTTCTTAAAAGGGAACATATCTGAAAAAGCATAGAGCATTACTAAGTTTTCGCATTTTCTTTCTTCATTTTGCAGATACATATTCCCCAGGTTCACCCTTTGCTGGACAGAGTTTCTGGACATGAAGGTTCGGGTGCCGTGCCAGACACTTAAGTACGTCCAGGCAAACTATGGAACCAACTGGTATGAACCGGTTAAGCAGTGGGACTGGAAAAACAGTCCGCCCAACGTTCAGCCAAATGGACAGTGGCCAGAAGAGGAATGGCCAGAAGTGATACAGCTGTTTGACGTTAGATGACAGCATAGAACTTTCTGCCAGCACTTGCCTAAGGATTTCTTGCCATGCCAGATAATTGTACATATGTATATTATGGAACGAAATCCCTCCTAGTTCTACCATCAGTTTCATAGTGTTGAAAAAGAAATGACTATTGATTAAGATATTGATAAGTTAGAGTGTTTTCCAAGTATTTGTAAAGCCATAAGATAGATAAGATACATAATAGAATTGCTATTCGACTTGTAGTTACTTGCAAGTGCAGTTCATGTTTAGATGCTGCTCTGGTAAAGAACTGAACTAGCCAGCTTAGTGTCGGCCCTTTTAGCTTTTTGTTTTAGCAAATCATGGGGAGTGGACGTAAGCCTAAAAGATTGACACTCAGGCTAGAACTGAATTCTTCCTTGTCAACTTGTCAGGTAACACTCTAATAAACTGTATGTTGTACATTTTGAAAGGGCTATATTAGCAATAAAAGGTAAAAAAGGCATTTTGTGTGGTGGTGTTTACAAATCAGTGGCTTATTTATTACATAAGATTATGAATGTATTTAGTTTGCATCAGAAATTAATTTCCTAGAGCTCTATATTGCGTTTCTTTCCCTCAAAATGATACAAAGTAATATGCAATGAACTCAATGTCTGACTGTACTTTGGTTCCAGCAATGGTCTAAAAATAAAAAGAATAAACTGTCAATCATAAAGTACAAGAGGAGGAACTAACTGTCAATCAAGGGGATGAGCAAACTGTCAATCATAATAAGAGGAGGAGCTAATTATAACTCAATCATAATATACAAGAGGAGGAGCTAACTCAATCATAATATACAAGAGGAGGAGCTAACAGTCAACCATAACATACAAGGGGAGGAGCTGTCAATCATAACACAATGGGAGGAGCTATCTATCTATCAATACATTTACCTGGGGTGTGAATATTTTGTCCTTATTGCTTGTGAACACAGTTTAAGGTCCTTCAAGGTCATATATATTGTAGTGCCTGCCTTGGTTTTTACCCTAGAATTGTTGTAATTTATTGAAATCCCCTTAAGCAGAACAACACTACCCTATCTAAGTTGCAGTACCACTCTGTTCTGTCACAAGCAGCCCCAGGCAACTTGGGAACAATAGTGTTTGTCAGACCTTGGTGATCTCAGTCCTACATGTGACCAATCACATCCAAGGTTTGTTGTTCCTGTGTACCTGTGTCCTTACCTGACCAGGCTACAGCCAAAATGGCCCTTCAACACTGCTTCTACCTTGTGTGGATGGTTTTAATGTTGACTGTACAGTTCCAGTACTGTGTCATGGGGAATCTGGTTATACAAGGTCAGTTTGGACCCATGGTCTGCCTTAAATCTTTATATGTGTTAGATTTACTTTGGAAATGGCCGCAGTTTATTTTTGTAGGAATTTACTTCCTGAATGCTCACATTGTACCTGTATGTACAATAACTTACTAATAATAATAGATAAGATGGTACAGTATGCCAGGTAGTTACTGTACGGTTTAATAAAAATAAATTTTTGGAGTCTGTAATACTACGTTAACCAGGATTGCAATTAAGCAAGCCTGAGCCAAAACATTACCACTGTTAATGCTTTGTATATCTGTTGTAATTCCTCCTGTATTTTACTAAAAACAAGAATGATAACATTTGACTTAGAAACACTAAATAAGTTTTGCATATTTTGACATTGTGATGCTATGGGGGAAAATGTCAGCAAAGGATTATTCATATTTGAAAACAATAATGCCAACAGATGTTCGCTTAAGATGGGGAGGACGTATAGGTCCAGTAGATGTACAGATGAACGGGAGCTGGTATGCAGTCTGTGCGAAGAACTGGAATGATGATGACTCAAGAGCAGCTTGTCGTGAGCTTGGATATTCTATGGGGCAAAAGGTGAACTGGAATATTGGACGTGGGGGTCTACCTTTTCTTCGTTGGAAATTCAACTGCAATGGAGGTACATATATATATTTTCCAGTGGTACTTTGTCCAAAAACAGTGACCGAACATAATGATTAATTGACTGATTTGGCTGCCAAAAAAGGTGTGTTTGATAAACTTTAAGCACCATTTATTATTACCACACTTTATATCTGTTTATTATCTGTAATTAAATTTACACATCAACAATTCATTAGTCTTTGTAGGATGGAACAGCATAATATGAACCATTTTCATACAATGGTAATAACATTGTCGAATATATTCACTTGCACCAAAACAAAAACTATTTCTTACATTTTCCATTCAAAATTCTTTTCTCAACACTAAGTTTTTGTCCTCCTCTTGTATTTTTCAGATGATACTATACTGAGCAAGTGTGGCACAGACTCTGTAAGCTGTCCTAACAATCATAGGACTGCACAAGCCAATTGCAATGGTAAGGTATTTTTTTTAATTCTCACTTACTGACTGTTGTGTAGTACATTGTACATAAAATTATATTTTGTAAATATGTTGTGTTGCATTTTTGCATGCACACTATTAGGCAATTTTGAGTCATATTGGTATCATAAAACTTACTGCCTGCTATTGTAGCCAATTTTGCAGCCAGGAGTTTGGACATTATGTATGTGTAACTTAAGTTATATACCAAAAATTATGTATTTTGTGTATGCTGCTCACATGCATATATATCTTATACAATGTAGTTACCAAAGGTTTTAAAATGTCCACAAAATAAACAATTTTGCAGCCAGGAGTTTGGACATTATGTATGTGTAACTTAAGTTATATACCAAAAATTATGTATTTTGTGTATGCTGCTCACATGCATATATATCTTATACAATGTAGTTACCAAAGTTTTTAAAATGTCCACAAAATAAACAATTTCTAAAAGCGCTAGCCTGTATATAAAGATGAAAAATGCCTGGGTTATTTGGCCATAAGACATGCATCCATACCAAATTTCAGGTCATTTGGCACAAAAATTAAGAAGCTCAGAGGAAGCCATTTAGCAAAATAGCAGGAGAAGAAGGAGAAGGAGCAACATGAGGAAAAGAAAATTGAATATATTGGATCCATACTATGCAAGGATAAGGAAATTGACATAATTAACACAGTTCAATAAACATGACTGTATGGCTTAAATCTTTTTAACTGCCACCTTCAGGTAAGATACCACCTACCACTTCCATGCCAGCTACAACAAAAAAGACGATGGAGCCAGCTACACAAAAAAAGACGATGACTAAACTAACAATGTTGTCAATGACAGATGCTCAAAATACAGGTATGTGATCTGAAACTGCTGAGTGCTCACCTGTCTACATGTACATAGATTTTATTGGTCCCCTAAGTCATATTCTTGGGCAGTTTTGACTATACTGGTAAAAATTAAAAGAAATTCATTTAATAATATAATCGATAAGTATGGTTTAAATGTTCTCAGGTAAGATGCTGAGCCTAACAAACTGGACTCAACAGTACAAAACTACAGTGGTGCCAGCTACCACAAAAAAGACGATGGCTAAACCATCAATGTCACCAATGACAGATGCTCCAAATACAGGTATGGAATCTGAAATTCCTAAGGAAATGATTAGTGCATTGTTTTATGTGGCCATTTTAAAAATGATGTCATATTGACAAGAGGAGAGAATGCTATTGATGAATTAAATGATACTTCTCATCATATGAACCATAGGTAACAATGCAAAGGGTACTACCAGTACAACTACAGGACAGAAGGGCCAATCACCAAGGGCTCAGAAACAATCTCAGTTCCCCATTGGTGAGTAGGTGACCTGACTCACTTTTTTTCAACATTTCAACAGTACTTATTCAGGTTCAGGCTGAATTTTATCAAATTTATTGATAAAACATGGCATATTGCCTTATTGGCATCAAGTTAAAAACTAAATCTGATGTAGGACATGTCCATGACATATGGTTGAAAGAGATTTAAGTCTATCCATGCCATTAGCAACACTGAAGGCCGATCATGCATAACTAGCTAGAATGACTAATTTTACATGTATATTAATTAATATGAATAAAAGCTCAGTGTACATTCAAATCATAGTCCATACCACATTTTGTGTAAACTTAATTTGCAACTGTTATTCATTTTATAGCAAAATTGTTTAGAACTGAGCTCTATTATTCTTATAGTCACAGTAGCAGCTGCAGTTGGCACAATTCTTGGCATCTTGCTGCTGTTGGCAGTCTTACTGTGCTGCTATTGCAGAAGAAGGCTAAGGTTAAACATTAGTTCAGAAGTACTTGAATCATGTATTAATTCCAAGAATTCCCATTTACTAAGGTTCAAAGGTGCTAAGGTTGCCATTACGTCATTCAAAACTTAATCAATAGTAATGTTCATTTCTGTATGGATTGTGTGGGCTTCAACAGATTTGAGATATTCTGTCTCTTAGATGGTTGTTCAATCTGAGTATTAAAAACAAGCGACTTGCAAGTTTCAAAGTTTCATGAAAAACTCAGCTGTTGAAAGTAACAGGTTGGTATTTACTATAATTCAGGGCCAGGAACCAAGACAACATGACCTCGAAGCTGAAGGAGAACACTAACCAAGTTGGTATGGGAGAACTGGGGAAAGAGCAACAAGACGATAGTGAGAATACATACAACACAATCCAGGATCCCGCTGTCATCCCAACAGCTCCACCTAGTGAACACGATGAGAACTACAGCACGATTCCTGACCTCCAGTCTTCACCAACAGGAGGTAGAGTGGACAAACGGGCCCCCGCTCCACCACCAAACCAAACCGACATTTACTACAGCACCGTTCGGGACAACGGTACCGCAAGCACCGCAGACAAGACTGGAACGCCAGTCACTGCAAAAACAACGCAAGAGCCAGAGTACGCAGTCGTCAAGAAGGAATCCAAACGCAAAGAAAATAAGAATGAGGAATCCGAGAAGGGAACAGGTGCACTTGGGCCAGAATATGCAGTTGTGAATAAGGTGCCGAAAGCAGAAGGCAAAGGAGAAAGTCAGTATGGAACAGTGGACAATGTTATCTATGAACCATATTAAGACAACCTACCCACTTCTTTATCACCTGACTGTATTCCATATTAAGGTCTCAACTAACAGTGTCTGAGGCCAACAATGAACTATCAAACAAATAAAAATTACCTATCAGATATGCTTCTCTTGGCTGAAGAAGTCTTTTGTAACCAATTTGTACTGGTTACAGGGTTAGGTTGCAGGGAGTAGGTTAACATTGAACCTTGTGTGAATGTGCTATAATAAAGGTGTTTACATGTGACATCACATCTATTGATAGTTGAGCCGGGAAAAGTAAGACCTATGATAATTGCCCTTGTTTCAAAATTACAGGACTATAATCACATGTACAAAAGCATGGCATCCAATACTAGCATAGTCTGGTGAAAAGATTGTGGGACAGACCAGGATGGACTAAACAGTTACTACAGAACTTTTTACTATTCTATGAAATATATTAGATTTGGACATGTTTTTATAAGATAATTAGCTTGTTTGATCTGCAAGGATGTGTGTATAATGTACCAGCATTAAATTTTGATGTAAAATAGCATTGGTGAACAATTCTAGCCACTTTTAGTTGGTAAAACATTTCAGAATGGTATTGTGGGAACAAGGTTCAGTATTCAGTACTCTAATGTAGTTCTTTTTGACTGTGTTTTATTTCAATACAGATGCTAATTTTTCCCTACATTTGCTTCACATAAACTGGCTAAGCTGAGCCACAGAAAACAGTTAATAAGGTTAGGTTACAAATAGAATAAAAGCGGAGAAATCTTTTGTTTTTGGGAAAACAACAGGAAATAAAATTTGTCACTATTTACTTGTTTTTGTGAGGTGTGTTGTTTTGCTTTGTTGTTGTTTACTTGGGTGTTAAAGAAGAATGTTGACAGTGTGGATGTACATGCAGATAGGAGCAAATGAGTGTACTTGTCATCTCAGTCAGCTATTAGTTTCTGCCATAATGTTATAGCAAATATATATCGTTTGTCCATTGCTCAAAAACACAAACATACGTAGACTGGGGGAAAACTTCCCCCTGAATGAGGTAGAGTTTGCTACATATTCAAAGACTTAGTAAGTACAGAGGCAACTAAAACCATGTAAAACAATGTATACATAAAAATATGACACAACTGGGCACACAAAGTTTTGTTACCTGTCGTTTTGTGGACTTCAGCAAGACATGGCACTGCCCCCCTCCCTCTTCAAACTTCCACCGTCTGCCGCCTGTTTTTCCACCCGTCCATGGCGTCACCAGACTAGGTTTAACTAGCGTCTCACCCCCTGTCACTGGTCTGGGCTATTATTCCCTCATTGTAAGCCGAAAAACGCAACCAGAACACCGAAAAAGTCACTAAAACTGACCCGAAGTTAGTCAACTTGCGGCGCTGTTACACTGGCCTGCGCTTTGCATAACAATCGCATGGGGTGGATGGCGTTCAGCACCAAGGACAGATGCCGTTTCTATACATTTCAACGGGATTCAGCAGGAAGTTCGTGTGTGTTTGCCTATATTTAGGTGGTATTTATGTTCTTACATTTTGATAGTGTTCAGCACCAAGTACAGGGTATATCTGTCTACATTTAGAAGGGATTTAGGTTCAAGGATGGGTGTGTTTGCATGTATTTTATCTGGTGTACATGAAAAGGACAAATATACACTGTATTTCCTTACATTTGGATGGCGTTCAGCACCAAGGACAGGTGCCGTTTGGCTACATTTTGAAGGGATTCAGAAGGAAGTTTGGGTGTATTTGCCTATATTTAGGTGGTGTACGTGACCAGTACAAAGGGCAAATATATTTTCTTATGTTTGGATGGCGTTCAGCACCAAGGACAGGGTATGTTTGTCTACATTTTGAAGCGATTTAGGATCAAGGAGGTGTGCGTTTGCATGTATTTCGATGGAGTACGTGATCGGTACAAAGGATAAATATATCTTATATTTGGATGGCGTTCAGCACCAAGGACAGGTGTGTTTGCCTACACTTGTATTTGGATGCCGTTCAGCCTTTGTTTTACCTTGTTATAGCATGGGCGATAGGCCACCGAGTTTTTGTTGAGATCGCTGTTGCTTTGTTTTATGAACACTCGTATACTGTGCACTCCGTACAAGCTTAAGATTCCCGATAATCATACACTGAACACAAACACTATGAACACGGTCCGTTGAAAGGATCCGAAGAGTCATGAACTCAACACATAACACCGTGAACACTGTCCGTCGAAAGATTCCCGAGAATCATACACTCATCGCATAACACCGTGAACACGGTCCGTTGAAAAATTTCCCTAGAATTCTCTGTACAATGAACCATACATATATAATACATACTGCTGGGTACTTGGTCCGCTGAATCATACAATAAAAAGCACACTCATTACTCAGCTGTTACATTGGCGTTCAGGGTAGCGCAAAGGCCGACGGGAATAGAACAGGTTTCGCAAACTCGAATGCGTTCGCAAAACCGCTGCTCGACTCGATAGAACCCCAAGCCGGGGCTAGCGCTAGCGGTGATAACTTCAAAAAGATGACTAGTGTATACTAGTACTAAGTACCTAACCAAGATGAAGCATTCGGAAGTCGCTGTTCGGCTCTCGGCAATCTTCGGGAGACTTCGGTATCTGTTCGTATGGTTCTTTGGAATCCTCATCAGTTTGTGACCGTGTTCAGTGTACGTATGATTCTAGGGAACCTTTCAACGGGCCGTGTTCACGGTGTTATGTGTTATGTGACTGTATGATTTTTGGGAATATTTCAACGGACCACTGTATGCCGCGCGTGATGGCAACGGGCTGAATGAGTAGACACAGTGTATGTTCTAACATGCGCGAAACAATAATAAGGATTTTATTTAATGGTTTACAAAACAATGTAACGTTACATGTATTGTTAGATCTCAACAAAAACTCGGTGGCCTAGCGCCTGTGGTTATAGATAGGTGATGGTGACATAGGAATCTCCTCCTATGATATATAGAATGTGAGGCCAATAGATGGAGTTTATCAGCGTAAGTATTGAAGGTTTCTAAATCTGTGATATGCCAAAGCTAGTAGACAATAACAGCCGAATCTGAACTGTTTCAGACATTTCTTTATTGGCAATAAAATTTATACAAGACTGGATGAGACTTCTGGAACCAAACCTACGGTTTAATGATGCTGTAGCTTTTAATTTGTAGTAACGCGTAAAATATAGCCAAAAGAACAATATCTGTTAATTCTCTGCATTTCTCTGCATATAAATGAGTATATCTCTACGGTCATATTGACAACAAAGTCTAAACTCTAAGGAAAGCGAGCTATACTTCTGGTATACCGTAGGTGAATATTTACACGACGTGAGTCTCTTCACTGCACGTGAGGTTGACACGTTTGTGTACGTCGATGGCTACCCGTCTAAAGTCTAAAATGGAGAAATATTACAGATGATAACTATCATTGAGTGGTAACAAAGGGAAAATTAATTGAAATTCCATCTATACATTACACCCGAACTTCTATATAATTACAGTCAGTAAATCAGTATAATGTTCGATTTTAATTTCTTTATGATACTAGTGTTGAATAACCCTGTCATCATCTTCACCATTGTTTCTACTGTCAGTATTAATGATATGGAGGTTTATGTCATCGTCATTATAATCATTTTGTCATGATAATCATTATTCATAAATGACTTCTGACCAAACTATGGTTTTGTACGGAATATTAGAAATCTATTCTTACTTAACATCCATCTCCATGTCCTGTTGAGAGTCCACGGAAGGTTCCCGGGAGCCCTGGAGGGAGCCCTGGAGAGACTGGTAGGCGCTGTCGGGACGGCTCGCTTCCAGGTAGGCAGGGTTGTACCTACCGTTAGCATCCAAGTCTGACCTGGATATGACCAAATATTTCAGGTTCAGGATTCCTCTGTGTTGTTAGAATTCATTCTCAAGAATGGTGTGAAGCATCCTGCACAAGACATTTTGAACTGATGCCTTTGAAAGAAGTACTCGGCAAAAGTGCTTGTTGTAGAAGTCAGACCGTTTCTTGTGTTTGAAATTTTAGTTGAAACCCTGTGTCAGACTACATCATTGCGTATTTTTTTCTGTGACAAGTTCTTAAGGTGACCAGGTAAGATCGTGGAATGACGGAGTAGATAACAAGATAATGTCATCAGCTCACCTGTCGTAGATTGGATTGTTTATGGCATGTCCGAATCCTCTGTGAAAGGAAACACACGTTAAACTCACTCATAAGGACATACAGATTCACCTTCACAATGAACGGTAACGAAGGCATTTTTGCATTAAGTAATCTATGACAAATCAGAGGCAAGTAACTACACTGTTATACGAAATGTAACGACATTGTTTCAATTCATCTTTAGTAAGAAAGCAACGAGACGTACCCATCTATCGTCTCTAGTTCTTGAAATCCGATTGCATAGCTGTAAGAAATTACGTGAGGTTATTCATGCGTCCAAACAATGCTCCAATGTTTTTGTAGATATGGTGCAACACATTTGGTTCTAAAGATTAATTCTGACTTTATTTTAGGAAAATCAAATCATTCAGAAAATGCAACCACAGAACTAGGTCTATAGCAAGACTTCAAGGCAGTGCATGCTGTAGAAATGCATGCCCCTGATACTTGCCTTTCTCCTACAAGATAACAAACATTCTGTCGAACCTGCCATGTCTTTGTCTTTTGCAGAAGTAGACGGCAGCGACCACTCCGACAAAGAGCAGTCCAGACAAAGCGCCCCCTATCGCTGCATACATGATCATCTGGTCTTCCGTCAGTCCACCGTCGCCACCTTGTTCATCGTTGTCCCCAGGTGTCCCTGTCGTTACCGGTTTGTTGTCCGGGTGTCTCGTTGATTTTGTGATCGGTCTCATGGTCTCGGTCACTGAGTTAACAGTACTGATGGCGATAGTGGACACATTGAAGGGCTGTCCGGTTTCAAACTTGTCTGGCGTGGTTTTACTTGTTGTTACAGCAAAACCTGTTTGAGATGGTGTTGATCTCATCTCATTTGTGGTATCTTGGCGACTAGAAGTTGTCTTTTGAGTAGAAGTGGTGGCCTGAGCAGTGGTATCCTGTGGGCTTGAGTTTGTTGGTGGGGGTGTGGGGGTGTCTTCCTGTACTGTTGTGCTGGGAGCGCTGGTTCGCTGCGTAGGGGTTTGAGATGGCAATGGTGGTGTCTCGCTTGTTGTATCTTGAGGACTAGAAGTTGTCCTGTGAGTAGTAGTGGTGGGTAGAGCCGTCGTATCCTGTGGGCTAGAGTTTGTAGGTGGAGGCGTGGTTGTATCTTGCTGTAATGTTGTGCTGGGAGGGTCAGTTAGTTGCGTCGTGGTTGTATACACTGGTTGAGTAGTTCCTATCGTTGTAGAAGAGTCTGTTGTAGGTTCTGGAGTCGTAGTTGTCAGTTCTGTTGTGGTAAAAGTTGTCGTTGTGGTAGTCTCTGGTACTGAGGTGGTAGGTGCTTCAGAGGACGTCTGGCCCGGGGTTGTAGAGGCAGCGGTGGAAGAAGTTGGGGTGGTTGGTGGGATAGTTGTGACTAGGGGTGATGTAATCATATGTGCGGCTGTGGTGCTGTCTGGCAGCAGTGGTGTTGTGGTCCCTACGTTACCTCCTGGATCGGACGTGGGATCTTTGCATTAGAAAACATTCATCACATTTCTTCTTCTCCTAATGGTAGAGGTTGCCATTGAGGTAAATTATCCTCTGTCTTTTATGTATTACTAACTAATGCAACCTGTTACGGATAAATCGTGCTCATCACATAAGAGCACAATAAATACATTTGATCTTTATCTTGTCGATATTAATAATATTTTTTTAACCTTGCCTCTTTCCCGATGACCTCAATGCATTCTGATTTGAGCTTCTCATTGATAAAGAATAGTTCAAACAAACATACTATCAAGAGAAGGCCAACTCTTTACCTGTAACTGTAAACGTAGCTCGGAATCCCTGGCCCCTTGCTGGAAACCCCCCTCCGTTAAAAGACACCAACATCGAGATTCCACTAGAAGAGGTGACTGCAGGGGGAGGGGTTTTGGTGCAGTACGTGCCAAGCAGAGGTGACGATGCAGTGGAACCGTCATACACATCTACTTTGATGATCCCACATGCAGCATTTCCAAACACAAACTCATTTTGCAGATTGAAGTCAGGAAACTGCAACTCTATCGTCCCACTTGTGACTTGGATGAGCCAGCTGCACTGGGCATCTCTGGGATATCTGCCGTCTGGGAAGTTTGGAGTAGTGAACTCTTGAACACCCTGTTCCGCCAGGGTTAGGGGAGGGCCACCGTCACACTGGGCTGGGGCGAAATTAGGTCAAGAAATAGGAGAACAAATACGTTACATGTATGAACTACTCGTATTACGTACTAAAGTGTGAAACTAAGGTACCAAGCTATCATGACCAAAATAACAACGTTAACGTACAGTGCTTGTCACCCTAAGGGTTCGAATTCGTTCCACATAAAGATATAAAGATAAACAAATGTACCCTACTGATCTTAAAGGACCGTTAACTCCACCCACCTGTTGTTAGTCTGAGGCCACAGCAGACCACGTACAGCAAAGACAGTATTCTCAACTTTCCCCTCATGACCTTCACAAAAATCTCCCCAAACAGTGTAATAACAAACTTTCAAACTAGCATTTAGGTCCTCATGTAACTAGTTGGCGTTGAAAAACAAGTTACAGTATTATGAACGTTGACCAAAAATAATCAGATAACAGTATCAAGGTACAGCCCCGCCCCTTTCATGACACGCGCACTCCTGCACACTGTTTTATTTATAAACCACTTCATAAAACTCACGTCAGAAGGTAAACATTAGGTCGGCTCCGTGTGGTACGTCTGGTTACTGAGAAATACCTTCATGTTTATCTTTGATGTGTAATATTAAAGTCCTGTCGCCAGAGGACAAGGCCACATTGTGTACATTAAAATGTCTACAAAGTCAAGAGTAGACGAAGTATAAGACAGTATGTAGAGAAGTCTAGTTTCGGGCATTACGAATAATGTCCATCCATATATCACGTAACATCACATGCCGTCTATACTAAGTTTTCTCTAGTTTGAATAATTATTATAATTATGCCGTATCTATAATGATTTTGTAACCGTTTCAGAACCTTGAACAGATTCAAACGCATAAGCATTAGTCTTCAGTGTGTGCAATAAGTATATTAGACGTTCAGCTTCATTCACAATGTCTGTTCTTTTGATAAGAATGCAATTTTTACTACACACAAACTAATATACGCCTTCTGTACACATGACAACTGACAACAACAAACTAAAGCAGATAGTCCTTTAGCTGTTCACCTTTAACCAGTGATACCCTCGAGTTATGTACAAGTGTTTTCCTAGCATAATACAGTGTGATTGTTCTTTTTTTCATTTTTTTTCTCGTGTTTTATCTCCTTGTTCAGTGAAGACCGGAACCCATGTAGCAGGTATACATGGGGTATCGAAAATGAAGAAAAACACAGCGTGAGATTCTTCTTCACACGCGGGCTTGGCACGTTCGTGTGATCCTTCCCCTAGCCCCGTGCGTGCACGTAGCTTGCACTCCGTGTATCACTTCCCCTTGTCTTATGTTTGCACGTGTTATGGCAATATCAGATCTGGTGTATCCCTTCAGCGCGAGTCCCTCCGCCGTGCGGGTACTATTTGCGCTGTCAGGGCGGGCAGACTTCAGCTGGGCTGGGTTGTCTATGCCGTCATAATCCACCTCTGGCCTAAAGACAGTATAGATACTTTTAACTGGACGTACAGGTGAAATATCTTCAAGTTGAAAGACTGTGGTACCAAAGTATGTGTTAAGCATGCAGTTTGTGACAATGATATGTAAATCATCTAACAGATGACGGCTAAGGAAATTATCATGGAGCTAGACAGAAAGAACAGCAGTTACCTTAAGTTTGTAGTTTTTCCAGCCCCTGTTCTACAGAATTGACTGCGTACCTGCAAGAAGTACCCATGTATGAGGTTATTCACTCGTACCTTTAGCCCCTGCCAGACATTCAGAACTTCCCCCGAACTCCAAACAACCTGCCAAGGTTGGCTGAAGCTCGTGAGCAGTCTGACCAAATTTAGGCCATGCCTACCTTTCCACACCGTTGAATCGAATCAAGTTGTGTTAATTGGGCAATTTGAGTTAAATTTGAGTCAAATCTGACTGGCAACCACGCCCCAACCACTGCCGACTTGTTGGTGATTAGTTGGAGAGGTCTTTCGTCGTGACCAGAGGGTATTGTGGACTTAAGGGATGGAGTAGACATACTATGAGTATGTTAGTTAATAGGTAATTGTTGTGACTCACCTTCTTTCGTGCAGGTCATTGCCTCACTAAATCTTGATTCAGCCTTCTAAATAATAAATCTATTAATATTATAACTAGTTTAGTCATCGCAAATATTTCCAGCTAGCTCTTAATTCAGTGGCAGAAGGCAGCAGCCTAGAAAGCTGTTGGTAAAAGTACTAGCAGTGAGTGGAAGATACAGGAGAGTAAAAGGGGACAGGATATGACGCCAACGTCCATTGTTACAGGGATTTTTGTAAAATGTCTGGTAACATACAACAGGTGAAAACAAGTAAATTGATAACAACGGCAAAGACGTGCAATGCGAACTGAATGTCGCAGCAATTGCAGGTGCTTTGGTCGCCTCCAGTACTGGAGTAGTCAGGTCCCTCAGACGCTCCGGTGGCAGAGAACACTTGGTCGTATTGTAGTCCAGCTGTCGACGTGGAAGACGTAAAAGAGTTTTTTCGTAGTTTCTGGATTTGTGGCTGTAACTATTTTTGTGGTAAAGGCTGGTGGTGTGGTACCGGAGTGAAAGGCACTTTATACATACCTGTAGAGCTAAGGAGGGTCGAGGAATGCAGGGACCCGGAGATCAAAGTAGCGATGGAAGAAGTTGAGGTTGTTGGTGGAATAGTTGTTATTAGGGGTGATGTAGTCATGTTTACGGCTGTGGTGCTACCTAGCAGCGGGATTGCGGCTGTCCCTGCGTTACCTCCTGGAAAGTTAAGGGGTTCTTTGCATGACAAAAACAATAATCACATTTCGAATTCTGCTTCTCGTAAAAGTAGAGGTGAACATGGTACATGTATACCTGGGCTCATACTAGTCATAAGGGAAAAATACATTGTCTTTTATGCATGCGTTGCTAAGGACTGTAACCTGTTACAGACAAATGAAATACACTGTGCTCATCATATAATAACACCATAAACGCATTCTAGAAAGAGCCAAATCTTACCTGCAATTGTAAACGTAGCTCGGAATCCCTGGCCTCTTGTTGGAAACGACCCTCCGGTAAAAGAGATCAACATGGAGATTCCGCTAGAAGACGTGAAAACAGGGGGAGGGGTGTTCGTGCAGTACGTGCCAAGCAGAGGTGACGACGTAGTAGAACCGTCGTACACCTCTACTTTGGTAAACCCACACAGACCGAACACAAACTCATCTGGCAAGTTAAAGTCAGGAAACTGCAGCTCTAAAGTCCCACTTGTGACCTGGATGAGCCAGCTGCACCGAGTATTTCTGGGATATGAGCCATCTGGGAAGTTTGGAGTGGTGAATTCACGGGGACCCTGTTCCGTCAGGGTTAGGGGAGGGCCACCGTCACACTGGGCTGGGGAAAGGACACCATACAAGCGTTTAGAATGTCATACTTAGGGAAAATGCTAAATACGCGTGTATACGATACCGCTACAATGTATTACTGTTACTACACAGCATATGTTGCAGATACGTACGCGTTGGATCGTATATATCGTATCATCACACTGGGCTGGGGAGGGGTGTGTGTTAATAGAACAAATATATGCGTATATGCTATGTACATGTGAAAAGCTACGATGCCAAGTTATCCAGTGCATAAACAACATTCTATCATGCTTCTCAAGCCAAGTCTCCAAGTTCCACGACCGAACAATGATTGCCCCACAAAATACAAGAAAAACACATGTACACAACTGACTATAGGACCCTTAACTCCACCCACCTGTTGTTAGTTTGAAGACGCAGCAGACAATGTACAGCAAAGACAATGCTCTTAACTTTCCCAACATGATCCTCACAAACAGCTTCCCAAACAGTGTGACAATAAAGTTTCAGGCTAGAATGTACGTCCTGTTGTAACTAGTAATCCATACTCAAGCTTATTCGCGCCGTTGAAAAATAAGTCACTATATTCTGAACGTTGACCAAAACTAATCAGATAACAGTATTAAGGTACAACTCCTGCATACTGTTTTATTCGTAAACCACTTCATAAAATTCACGTCAGAAGGTAAACATTAGGTGGGTCGAGGTCTGATTACTGAGAAATACTGGTACCCGCACATTTAATATTATAAAGATGTAGTCTTTAAAAGTCCTGTCGCCAGAAGACAAGGCGACTTCAAATTTGTGTACATGAAACTGTCTACAAAAACAAGAGTAGACTAAGTATAGGTACTTTCACGCACTATAAATGGTTGGCAGTTTTTAATGTCCATCCATACCTATCATGTAATGTATCACATGCCGTCTATACTAACAGAAATTACGTTAGATAAGGATTTTGCTAGTCTGAATGATAATTATACAGTATTTTGAGATGAGATTAACTGGTTTACACTTAATAATATACTAAGAGTACAACATCATAGCCCTGGGGCGTACTATTATACATGCTAAAGAACTATTAGACTCTTTATTTACATTTTGACGTCAAAAAGCATTCACAAGTTTCACACAATATTGCAAGGTGATTATCACACATGTGATTCAATGATTCTACAACTGTTTTAGTATCTTGTTTTAGTATTGAGTCGAAACTTTGAACGATTTTTATGTTTCAGCGTGTGCAATATAGTACACGTTTGGAGTGTCTGTCCTTGTAATGGTTTAACTGCACACAAACTACTGTACATCTACACATGATATCTGACAACAACAAAGTAAAACAGATAGGCTGAGCTCTGCGCATTATAGCCGTTCATCATGGACCTGTGTTACACTAGAGTTATGTACATGCGTTTTTGTATCCAATTATGCAATGTGATTGTTCATTTTATTTGTTTATTTTTTCGTCCTTGTTCAGTGAAGACCGGGACCCCTGTAGGGACTGATAGGCGCTGTCAGGGCGGGCAGACTTGAGTTCGGCTGGGTTGTCTCTCCCGTACGCGTCTTGCCCTGACTCTGACCTAAAAAGGCAGTAAAGATACAAAGTGAAGATAAAATCTTGAACTAGAAAGGTAACATTTTCAAAGCAAATGCATGCCGTTTACCTTCACATATGGTCTGCTCTGTTAATTCTTACTCAAACATATTCATATACATGTATATGGTGACAGAGGTCTAAATCCCTCCTACTATAAAATTGCAACATGATGTAACCATATTGACAAACTGATTGACAGACGTCTGGTTCAGGTCATTGACCTTATTTGTTTGGAGAAGAAGAGGAAACAGAGCAAAATCAATATGTTCTCTTTCGATAAACATAATTAGGAGAAAAACTCTATGTCATGCTATATGAGACAACGATATACAACAGGCCAAAGGAAAGTATCATGAAGCTAACAAACAGAAATAACACGAGTTACCTTTCTAGTTTCTCCAGTTCCTGCTCTCGAGATTTGACTGCGTACCTGTAAGACACACAATGAATTGAGGTTATTCATACACATGTACCTAAGTTTATCTATATACATACACCTAAACAATGTGTGAAACAGTGTACTAAGATATTATTCCTTTGGTGGTATTTTGGTTCAGGTTTCAGAAGCGTTGTCTTGTATGTGAGTAAATACTGGGGGTCCGAATACTCGGGTCAAGAATAAATACTGATATATGATTTATTCAGAGCTGCCATAAGAACATACAAAGGTAGTAAATCTGTAACAAAACTATAAAATACCGTGACGGTCATAAAATGTGAAAATCTTGACGTTTGCAATTCTACCCTACAGTCCAACATACTAGTACGCACCTGCCCTTTTTCCCTCTCCTGCATAAGCACACGGCAGCGATGATTGCAATGAGGAAAAGTAGAGCTAGAACCGCTCCCAGGACTGCGTACAGGATGATCTGGTCTTCCGTCAGCCCACCGTCGCCACCTTGTTGCTCGTTACTCCCAGGTTTTCCCGTCGTCACCGGTTTGAAGTTTGGTTGTGTGGTGTCCACGGTGCTAGGCAAGATGGTGGACACAAACTTGTCTGACGTGGTTTTGGTGGCGACTGATGCCGAAGCAAATGTCGTCCGAGTAGGGGATGATGTATGTGTAATATCTAGAAGAGAAAATAGTGACAGTTGAAATGAAAATGAAGTGGGCCAATATTTGTAAAAAATATGCTTAAAAACGTAAAATTTAACATAGTATCCACGTACCTATTTCACAGTGTATTCCTCCGTATTCAGCTGGGCAGGTGCAGTAGTATCCGCTGAAGAACTGTCTATCTGTACAGGTGCCTCCGTTTTGACATGGATTTCCCGCACAGTCGACTATAGCTACATCATAAGAAATGTTACAAAGTTAGCAGCAAATCAAAATTTCCAAGGATTTTCAGAAAGTCTTGAACAGAAAAGAACCGACAGGGATCTATGGCAGCATTTTCTGTCATCTGTGGTACCTTGAGGACTAGAAGTTGTCCTGTGAGTAGTAGTGGTGGGTAGAGCAGTGCTATCCTGTGGGCTAGAGTTTGTAGGGGGTGGGGTGGAAGGTCCCGCAGTCGTCCCGGGGTGGGGTGGTAGGTCCCGCAGACGTTCCGGGGGTGGGGTGGTAGGTCCGGCCGACGTCCCCGGGGGTGGGGTGGTAGGTCCCACAGACGTCCCGGGTGCCGGGGACGTTTGGACGGGCAGTGGTCGTGGTGTCGATATTGTGGTTGGTGGGGCGGTTGTGGTAGCTGTAACATAAGAAAAGTCTGTAACTGACGATTTGTTGAAGATAATTTAGGAAAACCCTACCTCTGGATCGGATGGACGTATTAAGAAGTGATTAGGGACGGTGATGGGGGGGGGGGCTGGCAGAACAAGTACATGTACATAAAACACAGGAATATGTCATCATGAATGAACAAGTATACAGGCGCAAAGTCATTGGCATTGATAATACATATGTCTAAACCTGCTTCACAGTTCGCTTACTGTATATTGGTCAGTAGAAGATAGTTTCAACTCACCTTCTTTCGTCCAGGTATACGTATACGTCCTTGTGCACCATTCATAGCCTTACTTGTCTTATTTCTACCTTGCAACTGATTCATTCTAAATCTTTAATCCATCATAACCTGCCATGAGCTACTGAAGTCATAGCAAATGTTTTCTTGCAAGCTCCTAATTTGACAGAAAGAAGCAGGCATTAAATCTGCCGGCAATCGCGCAAAAGCATTGACTGAAATAAGATACACCGGGACAGTGAAAGAGGACAGAATATGTCAATCGCACAAAAACATTGAATGGAATAAGATACAGGATAGTAAAAGAATATATGGTACCCACGTCCCTTGTAATAGGGATTCTTGTTACACTTACATGTCTACTTCTGGCAACACAATGAAACAAATGAAAACACTTGCAATGATGTGTCGTGCGAATTGAATACATATACAAGGAATTCAAAATATGATGTAGTGCGTCAAATATTTGTGGAATTGATATTAGTAGTGTTGGGCTCATCTTTCATACCTGTCTCACAGTTAGTTCCCTGATATCCAGCTGCACAGCTGCAAGTGTAGCTGTCTACTAAGTCTATGCAGGTGCCGCCATGTTGACAAGGACCGCTGGCACATTCATCCATATCTGTAAAAATATACGAGTGTCATTGAATTGCCTCACACTATATGTGGCGCGGTGGGAGGAGGGTACAGATATATTTATAATTAAAAATTTCTACACAACTGTTAGCATGAATGTTGTACGCTGAAGTTGACTCACCAATCTGACAGTTAGTCCCCAGGAACCCAGGTGCGCAGCTGCAGATGTAGCTGTTCGGTATGTCCACACAGGTGGCTCCGTTCTGACAAGGATCACTGGCACACCTGCCTGCTGTCTCTGATAACAACATGTGAAGAAAACAGGTATTTGAGTCGAAAGTACTGCAGTTATAATGTTGTATAGATTAAACATTACTTAACTTTTTAGGCACAGATCATTGTTAAACATATGTACGTATGTTCATCTACGTACACAGCACATCGTTGAGATTTGAGACTAATTTTGTGATAAGAATATTATCAAAGGTGTCAATGTCCTTCCATACCTGTCTCACAGTTGGTTCCTTGAAATCCAGCTGCGCAGCTGCAGGCGTAGCTGTTCACTAAGTCTATGCAGGTGCCCTCGTTTTGACAAGGATTGCTGGCACATTCGTCAATATCTGGCAACAATTAACAATACAACAGAGTTGGTTATGTGGGTAGTATGAAAAGTGAAGCTTAAGTAAAGAAACGGGTGGCTTACAAACTGTTCACTTTGTGATTCCAGTATACAGTTCTAGGTCCTGAAATTGCCCAACTGAACAATGCCCTTCCGTACCTGTTTCACAGTTAGTTCCCTGATATCCAGGTGCGCAGCTGCAGGTGTAGCTGTTCAGTGCATCTGTACAGGTGCCCGCATGTTGACAGGGGTTACTGGCACATTCGTCTATAGTCTGGAGATCTGTTGACGTGACAATAAACAAATGAGTCGAACACACACTCATTTGGACATGAGGCAAATATTGCTCTCATCTGCTTGAATCTAACTTGGGAAGTACATATGTAATATCTAGAAAAGGAAATAATTATAATTAATGCAAGTTGAAAGAAAAATATGATAAGTGTCAATTTCTAGAACATTTTTTTCTTTAAAAATAAAAGGACATAAACATAGAATCCACCTACCAATTTCACAGTATGTTCCTCCGTATTCAGCTGGGCAGGTGCAGTAGTATCCGACGAAGAACTGTCTATCTGTACAGGTGCCTCCGTTTTGACATGGACTGCCCGCACAGTTGGCTATAGCTACATTGTGTACATCATAGGAAATGTACCAAAGTTAGCAGCAAATCAAAATTTCCAAGGATTTTCAGAAAGTCTTGAACAGAACAGAACAGAACCGACCGTCGACAGGGATCTATGGCGAGACAGCTGAATATTGTGCGAAACAACCACAACCATACACACACACACACACACACACACACACACACACACACACACACACACACACACACACAAACACACACAAACACACACCACACACACACACACACAACCACGGCGCAACATCAAAGAAGGTGTGAGTCACATACCTGTTGCACAGGTGTCTCCCTCGTATCCAGGTAGACAGGTGCATGTGTAGGAGTTGACACCGTCCTGGCACGTCGCGCCATTCTGACAGGGATTACTGGCACACTCGTCTATCTCTGTAGCGATAAGACATTACGATTAACATAATCTTTTGGTAGCTGCAATACAGCGAACAAGTTGGCAATGCAGTATCAAATTGGCAGGATAGTTGACAAGACACACACAAGACAGTATCAAATTGGCAATACAGTATCAAATTGGCAATACAGTATCAAATTGCCAAGGATAGTGTCAAACTTGTTACAGGCGGCCAATGCAGACTGTACTAATATATATAGTTGCCTCTTGTCCCTGAAAATCTGCTTGGGGATTACGACTAACAAGAATGACTATGCAACACTTATCATAGAAAACAAGAAATGTAGAAAGTAATGAAGGGCTGTGTACTTAGTAAGTCTTTTAAAGTTGCACTTTGTTTCGCAATAACTTCTGAACTTAGAAGCCAAAGCATGGTTTAACAAGTGAGACCACCCTGGGAGTTAGGTAAACATTGCAGGGCAGGTTATTAAATCATCTAGGACTAGGAGTCGCCCTTACCTGGCGTTGTCAAGGCGGGCTGAGTAGATATGTGTGCCGCTGGGGTGGTGACTGGGGGCGGGGGTGTTGTCACTGGGTTACCGCCTGGATGGAAGGAATTTAGAGCTGGAAAATTCTTGATCAAACTCCTAATTTTTTTACGTTTTTACATACGTAATAATCTCCTATAGTTTGCAGTTTCGTCGTACATTTGTAACAAAATGCCAAATGTATTTTGCATTAATCGTAAATGATTTTGTTGCCATTTGCTTTATTACAAATTAATGGAATTTCTTGAAATGTCAGAAACGTAAAAATGCGCCAACATGGGAGGGACCAAAGCTCACCTATGACTGAAAATGTCGCCCTGAATCCCTGTCCGACTCTTGTAAACGCCCCTCCATTGAAAGTCACCAGTATGGAGGAACCTGTGGAAGACGTGACGTTTGGGGGAGGGGTGTTGTCACAATACGTCCCGAGCGGAGTCGATACCATTGTGGGGCCGTCGAAAATGCTCACTGTTGTAGTAGCGCATGGAGCAGATCCAAATACAACCTCATAGGGCAAGTTGAAGTCAGGGAACTGCAGCTCTATCGTCCCACTTGTGACCTGGATGAGCCAGCTGCACCGAGCATTCATGGGATATCTACCGTCTGGGAAGTTTGGAGTAGTGAACTCTTGAACACCCTGTTCCGTCAGGGTTAGGGGAGGGCCACCGTCACACTGGGCTGGGGGAAGGAAATTAGACAAGCGTTTAGAATGTCATATACTAGTCTCCACCAGACCCTTTTGCAGGCTGAATAAATAGTAGAAATCGGCCTAAAAATGTAGCTGGCCAGGAGAGTTGGCTGAACACAGAGGGCCCAGTTTGCCTGCATAGCTACATTCTTTTTGTAAGGCCGATTTCTATTACATGTATCTATTCAGCCTGCAACAGAGTCTGGTGGAGACTAGTCATACTTGGTCAAACACAGGGAAAATACTAACACGTGTACCTACGATACCGCTACAATATATTACTACTACTACACGGCATATGTTCCAGATAAGTGCGCGTTGGAACCCCGTTTATAGATCGTATCTTAAAGCTTTGTGTGAACGTAACGACAAATCTAAGACAAATACGCTACTAGTATCGTATCTTGATGCAACTTACCTTTAGACAGTTGGATGTGACAACAGACAACGCAAAGCAATGACAGCACGGACCACATTTTCCACATCTTCACAGCAGACTTGTATGTAACACAGTACTGACGATGTGTAACTCTGTATTAACCCGTTCTGTGTTCACGCCCTTGTAGTGTAACTAGGTACCAATCCCCGCCCAAGTTCCACCGTAACGTAGAGAAGTGAGATAACACAGTGCCAAGGTACACCACCCCGCCCCACAACGGAACGGGTGCATGTAGAGACCGTAGTATTAGCAAACAACCATAAAATTCTCGTCAGAAATCAAACAATAGTTGGGGAAGTCTGGAATACCCCACCCTGCCCACGCTAATGCCTCCGTACCACACAAAGAATTCTTTGTGACTATTAATGAAAAAACCTAATCTCCAAACAGATCTTTTAGTACAGTACCAGACACTATCAAATTGGCAAGACAGTATAAAAAATGGCAGGGTAGTATCAAGTAGGCAGGGCTGTATCTTTTTGGCTGGCGAAAAAAGAGATATCGGTGCAAAACAGAAACACGTAAGACACGTCAAAAATAAAACAAAGCATAATGTTCTGCTTGGACAATATTAAAAATCCATTATTGTGCCTGTGCATACTTTGAGCCATTAATCGCCATATACAGTAGGTTATGACAGTTTCACTATAGACAGTTAAAAAAACAAAGTTACAAAGATAACGGCCCAGGAATAGACCTGACACTGTGCCTGTACTTTACAAAGTAAATTTTCTTAACTTTTTGATATAAAGTGTCAATTGTTGATTGCTATCGTTACTAAGGAAACGGTGTTTGTTTTCTGAAGAGATTATGACGGAAGTGTATGTTTACAGATATTACTGTAACCATGGTATGTGGTTGGAAAGGAGAAGGGCGTTAAATAGTTAGCGCCTGGCTTGACAACGTTACCTGGTCTGTATACTGTATTCATAAATACATTTGTTACTAGTACTACAGTTTCTTGTATGTAATGAGGGACTTTGACACCGCTTGTAAATAGATTATGCTCCTACAGACGTAGTCTTGGATGTTGTCAATACGCATAAGTTGATTTTATGTACAGTTGGCGAACGTGGATGATATCTTCCTTGCTTTTTAATTACATTATGAAAGGACTTGTTATTTACCTTTAGTATATAAGTTTGAAGGAAAATAGATGCGACAGAAGTTACCCTTTCGTTAGCATTTGGTGGAACCGTTTTTATTTTTTACATGTATATTTTTCACAACAGGTTTTCAAAGGGGCTTGTTGATGTTACCATCCTTAAACCACTATCATTATGATAGCAATGTCATGCTCAAGAAAAATGCTTGTTAATTTCCCCTTTATACACATTTGAATGTCATCGTCTATGGCCAACTTAGCAATGTTGCAACGAGGACACTTGCGGTCAAAACTGGAACTGCAGCAACGCCTGTAACAAAAAAAGACATACAGTGAATATCGAATGAATCTTTGCTAGTACTTACATGGTATGAAAACAGGTACAACATATATGCTCAGAATGGTCGCATGATATTATGTATGGTATTATGATTAACATTACATTAACGTCAATAAAACGTAAAATCAGGAAATAAAATCATGTGTAGTTTACGTGAAATAGCGGCGTTTGCTGGTACATCAGCCCTGGTTCGCGGGACTACCGGTATGTCGCCCCGCCTGGCTGTAGGTCGCCCCGTAGGTTTGCTGGTGCTGTGAGGAAGTCTCGTACAGAGGTCTTCAAACGACTCACAGTAACAGTTTTCACTGACTGCATCGAAAAGTAAAGTTGCGTCTAGGGGAAATAAAGAAGAATGCACAGGGAATGATTCAACTCTGACTTGACACAGCTAGTCTACGTACATGGGCTTGAAAAGGTCTCAATTGTCGGCTTAGACATTTACATCGACAATGTAAATGTAGTTGTTGCCTTGTGAGTTTTAGAAACTTGGGTTCTCACGAAACTAATGCTGTCGTTTGCTACTTGTTAGCTGCTTTGCATGCAGTCAGTACAGAGCCAACTACGAAACAAGAGACTTTGAAAGACTCTCACGAGTCTCACCATTTGGGCAACAAGGGCAGCAGTAAGTCACGCCCCCTGTCGACGCACCAGGGCAGTGCATGCAGCTCTCCCCAGTTCTACATGGTAATCTGATAGGGCCTGTGAAAGAGCAGAAATTATATATTAAAAAAAGTGGTAATTTATTGTTTTGTACAAAATTTAGAAAAGTGGTAATTTATTGTTTTGTACAAAATTTAGGGGGGTGGCGGTTTGGACCACCAATCAAGAATATAGAATATTATAGAATAAATATACATACACCACATAATGCAAGGTATGATAATAAGGAAAGGACATAAGCGATGGGCAAAGTATATTCAAACAAACATACGTTCCACGCTCCGTTCCGTGGTGTTCTCACAGCTCGGCACGTCACAGTACTCCCACCGCACGTCCGGATCCGTCGTCAGGCACCACGGTCTGACGTCATCCGCCGGATTCCGGCAGTAATTCTCCGTCAGCCCGGAACCCGGATGGATCTGGGGCATGAACAGGTGGCTGTGCGGCGCCTGGCTGTGCCATTTCTGACAGGGGATTCCGGATGACGTCACGGCTACGTCACCCCTGTAGGAAGAACCGTTACCTTCCAGACAGTCTGGTCCTGAGGGAAAATAAAATATTTTAGTACCATATGTTTACCGAAGGAAAATATATATTGTTTTTGCTCAGTTTCCTCCTCTTCTTCTTCTCTAAACAAATAAGGTCAGTGACCTGAACCAGACGTCTGTCACCATGGTAACTAGTGTTGGGTTACATCATATTGCAATTTTATAGCAGGAGAGATTTAGCCTCCTGTCTGACCATATATATGAATGTGTTTGGATAAGAATTAACAGAGAAGACCATATGCGAAAGTAAACATTATGCATTTGCTTTGCAAATGTTATCTCTCTAGTTTTCGTTTCCTATTTTGTTTGCCACCGTTGATTTCGTTGAAAAAAAAAATTCACCGTGAGTGCTTGTTGTGAAAGCCACATTTTTCAAGGAATGATTAAAGTACTAACTGATAAGTTATATAAAATGCGTGTTCTTAGTTGTGGTACGATATAAAAGCGGGGGGATTAATGTGATCAAACTCCACACATCAAACGTGACGATCGAACCCGGATACACGGACCACGAGCTTTAGTACGGTCACAGGCCACCTAGCGACTTCTAACATATTGCAACAGCAAACACAGTCACGTACAACACATCTGTGTACTTGTACATAAACATGATAAAAGACTACATCTTTAGAAGACTACAACACACATTTCTCTCTTTCTTTACAATTTAGGAAAACGTCGGTACTACATACATGCAGTACCATACATCTAAACCGTGTGGCAACATATTTTCATTTGCAAATAAGCCACGTTGAATGTTACGTAATATGATATTACAATTATGTATTTGCTTTTTATCCATATTGGAAATATGTATGTTTTACTCAAAGCATTTTGCATACTGTAAAACTTCACCTCAAAATAGCCGTTCACACTGATCATTCATAGCACAACGCAGTACATTAGCTTCATTGAAAAAGACAGAAAAATTACATTTCTAAAAGTATCGAAGCAAACAAGAAAGAGAGAAAGATATAGAGAACATGAGGAAGTATAACTTACCCTTCGCTGCACATCCAACACTGAAGACCAAAACTACAAACACTACTGTCGACATTTTACATTTCAAAACAGTACCATGTCACTCCACCTACATACGGTAGGCTACGGTACAAAAAAGAATGTTACTTCGTTTGTTGTAGGCTAAAATTAACAGGTGTGTGTTTCCCTTAAGCTTCCTTCCCCGTAACAAGCGTCAGGTGCTAAGTGTAACACCTTGGACAGGTAAATATACGCGCAGGTTCAAAGTCTACGTTTGAACGAGTTCAGTTGAACAATTGGGAGGCTGAAGTGTTTGCCGAGCTAACGATTGCCGACAGGACCATTCTCACTAATCCATGAACAAACCTTACAACGTTGTGTGTATATGTACATGTAGGGCGCTGGCTGGGACATACAGGGGAGGGGCGGCTATGCTGATGAAAGTTGCGGTCACATTCATAGTGCGATCATTGTCGTGGGTCTATTCATTATCCATTGCCTTCAAAAAAGAAGTCAACCCTCACAAAAGCAAGCATAGTAGTAGAAGTAGGAGTTTTTCCAGACATTAGTCGTCTGTTCCCTAGTTATTGTATACTGATACTACTACTAGCACCGTATATTCGTAGTATCTTTTTCCAGGCTCCTTTTTCACTCTGTAAAAGCAATTAGCCTTTGGATATGATTTTGCAAATAAAGACATCAGTTATCTTCGCCAAGAAGGTTATGTGTTCATCAGCGTTCATGTGTGTGTGTGTGTGTGTGTCTGTATTTATGTGTGTGTGTGTACGTGTGTGCATATGTGTGTGTAAACACGTAAACTCCAGAAGGCTTATATGAATTGTCTTGATATTTAGTAGGTGGGTAGGTCGTGATGAGACCTCGAAATGGTTGGATTTCGGGTTTGTTTTGTCGTAGGATTTTCAGCGATGCAATGACGGACTTTCTACAAGTATCTACGAGAAAGTTTTCCGTAACAAGACAGTCAAATTTCGCGTACGACTCATTCACGACTGTGGTAAGACTACTCAACGTTCTGTCATATAGTTTGACGAATGTGACTTAGTCCTTAGTACGTAATTTTGCAGGGATTGTGAAGTTACTACAAAGATCATTAGAATGTATCTCTCAGAAACTTTCAACATATTTTGAAAATCAAAACAGACCAACAAAACAAGGCCGTACATGTGCGTGTGTACGGTTTAGTCGGTCACGTACGCTCAAACAACGTCCGGGTCACGTTATAACATTACCATTACAGTTCAACACATGACGACCCAAACAATTCACACCACCTTATACATATACCACTAGGGACCAAATAATAAAGTTTATGAACTGTAGAAATGTACATATGTAGAACAGTATGTATGCTGTAATATAATAATCTCGTTTACAAAATTAAGACTATATCTAAATCTGCAGAATTCTACAATCATTTTAAAGAGTTAAGTCAAACTTGCCATTAATTCTATGTGTTGTTTCTAACAAAGATAAAATTGGCTTTTGGTCATGACCGTTGCCAAGGCAATGTCAATAAACATGGCCATTACAATTTCTAGTTCTCTTCCACGTCATTTTTATCTGGCCAGGAGGGGCCAAAGTGGCTGCGGGAGAAGGCAGGTGATCTGATAAGGCAACGGAATGTTAGCGTAACTCCCGCGGCGATTAGCCTCGCTCGCAGGCTTTGGGGCGGGCATTTTAAAGGCATCCGATACAATTTCAGGGCGGCGAAACTGGAAATATCCTGAATAAGGCAATCCGTTTGATATTGACACATGCTGTCACACATTAGCACATTTGAATCAGTATTTTATACTTTGGGCATTTAAAACTGCAGGAACAGGCTTCAATATTAGTCCTTTATTTTCTGGATGGTACCCTAAAAATCAATCCAGATCCTTCCAGTAACAGTTTTTCGTCAGAATTTTGGGCATTTTTGTTCCATGGATGTCGATGTACATGGGGACAGTGGATAAGTGACCAGAATATTGACTGAAAAATCTGGTTTCCAAGCCCTAAAAACTTCACTGGATGCCTTTAACATAGCCACTTTTCCTGATTACGCCCTCTTTCCATTATAACAATTTTGCATAGAATACTAGTAGCTTGGTAGCTATCTGAACACGGTAACATGTATAAAATAGCTTGTTATCAACAAAAAACGGTCGTCTTGAAACGCCCGTAGAGGAGCCTGCTAGCAAGACTATCTTGTACTCGTACACGGGGTACGTGAAACCTTAATCCTTTGCAAACTCATGTCGTCGTCATATCTGAACTATCAACTGACGTATCAGAGAGTTTGCGTACGAGTAACACACAACTACACGGAGTTTACAGTGTTGGTGAAAAGGTATTGAAATGGATAGACTGTACGACGCCCGGTGTGGGGGACGGAATTATAAACAAACTGGATAAGGGTCAGGTCACAGTCGTGTTACGATAAGTGTATGGCAGCAAATTTAAGGCAACTTGTGGGGTCGTGTGGCGCAACGACAGAGCGTTAGATTCGGAACCAAGAGGTCCCGAGTTCGAATCCATGCCATGTCATGCCACCGATTTTGCGTCCTTGGGAAAGGCACTTTTTTGGCGACGTCTCAGGGAGGAGCCTAATGGTATAGTATTGTGTGCAGTTTGCAAGAATTCTAGGAATGGTACAGGCATTTTGTCCACAGGAATGAAATGTCCACAGGCATGTCTCTGACCCACATCTATGCCCACATTCCTGGAAACCCTTGGGAAGACCTCTCTGCCCCGGATGGCCCTACTCTCTGTGACCCCGGGGCTCGTTCAGTATACACTCAGGGGAGGAGTACACTGTACCTGTCTAGACTTAACAGGTACCGAGGCTTCCTCAAAATCATGAAATGATGACAGTGCCATGCAAACAATAACCCTAACAACAACCACCGTCGCCATGGCAATGTATGTTTTCATTGCCAGTCTTGTTTACACGAATTTCCTCACTTAACTCAGGTGAAAATGAGTATGTCTGTTGTCTGTGCATTTGCTGGCGGCATAAAAATAAGTTGAAAAACTTGAGTGTGTCGTCACCATGTCTTGTGATAAATGTTGGAATAAAAAAAAATTGAAGGCTTCTTGGAAGAATTGTGAGAAAATGTGTGTAGTGGTCAGCTGTTAAAGGCACCCAATGAAATTTCAGTGCGGCAAATATTTTAAAAAATACTAGTATTCTGGGTGACGAAATATGTCTGATATTCGGACATTTTGTTATCACTTCATATTCGAAGCGTTAACAATTTGAAATAGCCCCTAAACCGGCTACGTGTGGCTAGCTACTCGTTATTTTTGGGTACCACCCATAAATATCTAGAACCAAGCTACAATACTTTGTTACAATACAAAAGAAGCAAGCGTTTTCCGTCAGCATCTTTGCCTCACAGATTTCATTATGCTATGGAATAGGTTTGGTTCAACTTACTACATTGAAATAATGGCTAAAATATTGACTGTGAAAATCCAATTTTGCCGTCCTGAATGGATACTTAAGGTTGTCGGAGATCTGTATGTCTTTAAGGATTCCCTGGATGCCCTTAAGGTTACCGTCGATCTGTCATAGCCTGGCAAGAAATGGTGTGGTGAAAGTGACAATGCCTTCAGACAGGCACACACAAAAGGCACGAGACTTACACATCCAATGACCGTGTAATGATGGTGATTATGTAATCATCTCCTTGGTCTAGTTACTCCCCCTGGCGGTAGCTTTCTACTTGGTTGATTTGTGAACGGGGTATCCAAAAAAAAAGTTATATTTTTCGCAGTTAAGGAGTCTTGAACAGCGTGGTTAGGTATGTTGAGAGGCTTGAAATTTAATACCTGTACAAGACGTCTGTCTCAATGGAAACTAGTGTTGGGTTACATTATGTTGCAATTTTATAGCAGGAGGGATTTAGACTCCTGCCACCATATATATGAATGTGTTTGACTTAAAATTAACAGAGCAGACAATATGCGAGGGTAAACATTATGCATTTTCTTTGCAAATGTTACCTTTCTAGTTACATTATATCAATTATTATAAACTATAATCCTTCTCATAATTTATTCTTTTATATAAGTTATCGCATGACTGCGTATAAGGGTAAGTGGGACGAGCATACAATGATGATATGCGTCATACACTCTCATCGCGTCTTATGCCCAAGCACGAGTCTACAAGATGCTTTAAGACTTCTTACGACACATAGCAATCGTTAAGGTGTACTAAGATCTCTTCTAACACTTAGACAACATTTTCATCACAAGTCTCATAGCCAAACTGTCTTAAGTCTGTGTTTTAAAAACAATTTTAGAACAGGGCGGTTTGTTTACACTTTCACGCTGGGGGAGTTTTGTTGCGACATCCACTCGTCAGACCGGTTCTGTTTGACCCATAAAAGAATCTTCCGACAAGCGAAAGCAGTCAGCCGTAGCCTTAAGGGACGTAGTCTTAACTGGGCACACAGGGATTATTCAGACTGAGGTCGCCTTAAGTGTATGTTTAAGTGATGTACACTGTAGTAGTAGTCTTATGTAAGAACGCAAGAGATGCAGAAAAAAAACACAAAGACATCATGAACGATATTTTATCTCTGAGTATTTAGTACAATGTAACATGACTTTTCTAGTAGTAGTATATCACACAATAGTACTGCCTGAACATCGCAAAGTTCCAAAAAATTTATTCATTGGCCGTGGGTGTTCTCTATATGTTACAGCCATGATGAATCCACAGTTACAATTAGTTTTATATTATTTTTGTATAGTTACATACTAAGATATATTCAAACGTAAATGACACAGCTATCTTAAGCTAGCTGTATCCTTTTATAAACGTATATGTTGGTCATTTCTATTTGTTAAACTTTTACACGCGAAATATTTTCATGAATTTAGAGGTTAGAGAATATGTTGGAATCTCCTGTCGACACGACAGACGAGTAGGCATCATTTACCGAGATGGGTTCTCATATGGAAATGAAAACCAATATATGACGAATATAATTATCTGTAAAACACACTTAAACAAATATAATTTACACCATTAACTGTATAAACATTACAATAAATGATATCATAAAGTGAACAAAGTGATTTATCAAACAAGACTATAGTCTCATTGTTTAAAGTTGAATGCTTATTGAGAAACGTATGAAAAAATGTAAGCTTATAATGTTACTAGTCACTTATGTACTTGTACTTTATGAACAACAATTAAGTTTCAAAAAAATATGAAAGAAAACTATTGTCGTGATTTTCTCTACTAATGTGAGATATCTGATGACGGTGTGACACATGGTGATGCTGACGGGAGTAACTCCAGTTTCTTCCTCATGGCGGCGACCCGCTCGCTGTACGCCCTCAGCACGCTGCGGCAGTCCCGGTCCAGGCCTGACAGCGTGCCGGCCCCGCGCTGCCGCCGCTCGTACTCCCGCAGGGTGTCCGCGTAGAACTCGGCGTCCACCAGGCGGAGCTCGGCGATGGCGGAGTAGTTCTTTACCGTCAGCTTCCCGCGGGGCTCCTGTCGGCAGGCGTCGGCAAGGGACAGCGACTTGTCCCGCCGCATGAGGTCCAGCACTGCGGCGTACGACTCGTGGATGGACTTGAGGTCGTCCTCCTTCAGGGATTGACTCCTGCTAACGTCGCTGCTTGGGCAGGTTAACGTCGTGAGTCCACCTGACGCGACGGGCGATGTCAGGCGGTCTGACGCGGTGGTGTTCTCGGTGGATGCCGTCGGTGCGGCGTTAGAAACCGCCTGTACCTCTGTCTCCGTCTTGGGAGGCACCTCGGGTTGTGTCGAGCTGCTCACCTCGTCCGGGAGCGCCAGGGACGCCGCAGACGGTCCGCCGCTGTCACCGCCTGGCTGCGCCGCCGAGATGAACTCCACGATCCGCTGGTAGCGGTAGAGCATGATGAGGGAGATGTACAGCACCATGGCCAGGCGGCGGTGGCGGCACATGACGGGGTGAGACGCCGGGTGGAACCGCTGGTCGCACTCGTCACACAGACACAGCACGTTGGAGTCGTTGTGGGCGACACACACAGGGTCCAGGCAGACCCACACCGCCGGCGCGGCACACCGACAGCACCGGAAACTTCGAGCCTTGCAGTCGAAGTCGTTGGCCCGCTTCAAGATCCATTCCGCCCGGGAGCCCTCGTACCCCTCACCTGGGCCCCTGTCCTCCATGGCTCGGAGTTTAACAGCCAGATGCCGCAGATTTTTAGCTTGTTTTGCCAAGTCCGCACATACACAGTGCTGCCAGGTTTTGAACAGAACCGTGTTGTTACACCAAAATGTTTGGCACCACAACAAAGACTCTCACCAACGATGTAGAGCTTCAAGCAGTTTCATACGTTAAAAAGTTTTAAACGACGATCAGTTCCACTCGTAAGGAGGGTTTTAAGTGCTAGGCAGCGGACGAGGGTCTACAATTTCAGAGATTAACAGTAAATTAAGCCGTGTACCCACGCGGCAGCTGTTAGAGGTGAGCAGGAGTTGTTGAACCGGTTCTACAAGTTTTCTACGCAGCCTTAAGGCTTAGGACTAAACGGTGTACATGTCTCGCAGCGCGTAGACCAAAACAAACAGCGCCAAAAACCCTTAACAACCTATATAAACATTGCAGAACGTAGCATAACACGACGCATCTACAAAAAATGTCAAAAACACAAGCAGAAATCCTCTTTAGATGTAAAGTTGTCAGTCAGAGTTAAGTGTGAAATGGCCCAAATCATCCCTTTGTTGTGTGTCTATAAATGGCATGGATTAAGCCAGGGTTACCCCCACTTTACTAACAACGACGTGAGGTTACATTGTTATTGTACTTAGCTATGAGATCATACGTGTAGTATGTACATACACGACCCAGACATGACAGACAACCCTGTGAGTCAGCAATAATGAATGGCTGTACGTAGCTTGCTGGGGTAAATTGCACCCTGCATCACTTTATACAAAGCTTTTTAGCTCAAGCATGGATTAAACGGACGTAGTACAGGAGTTGTATAAGTTTAGGATCACAGAACTTTCGTAGGCAAATGTTAACGTTCTTGTAGCTCATGCCTTCGTAATGTTCTTCCATTCAACCCTGCATTATGAGTCACAAATGTCACTATGTAATAATAAAGTAGTCGTGAAATATAGGACGTAGTTTATAGATACACGACGACCGAGGAGGTTACAATGAATTTTTTAAAAGAGCAGCGAAATTGGAAAATTTTCTGAATAGGGCATTCTTTATGATATTGGCACATACTGCTTCACATCAGCATCTAAAAAATCAGCCAAGGGCGCTCCCAGTATCCATTTTCAGTCAGAATTTTGGGAATTTTTGCTCCATGAGGGTTAATATACTAGTACAATGGAACAGTGTGTTATGTACATAAGTGACTAGAATATACTAGTAGACTTTGAAAATACGGGTTTCCAAGCCATAAAAACTGCATTGGATGCCTTTTTAATTAACCTCCTTGTGGTGACATTGGTGTACACATGTTATACTATGTACGTCTCATCAATTCTATTGGCATTCTATGCAGTCTGTCCGTAATCGCGACTGATCGAGAATCTTGCGCACTGAAGGAGTGACGTAAGAATAGGATACATCGTTGAATGAACACGTTAAGCCTTACAAATTAACTAGTGACTAAAGACAAATTACGCTATCGCTTGACTCGTGACGGGGGAGCATGTTGTTCTTTCACTCCTGCCCTCTATATAAACATCACAGAGCTTATGGGATGCTATGATTCAGTTGTCGGAGGCGACAGACTCCACGTGTGATTGTTACGCTCGTGAGAACGGTTTAGGTTAAGACCATGCCACAGCAAGTACATTTTATGGATGACATCCTCTGCAGACCCTAAATCTAACCAAGGAGCTTTCATCACAAAAAGCTCCTTGATCTAACGCGATAGGGCGAAAGAAAACAACAAGGCGGGACAAAAAACAAGATTCATATATTTTAAAATTTTGACATCATAGACCTTGAAACGAAACCTAATACATGTATAAGTTTACTGCCAATAATCCCTTTGTCACTGAAACTGGGAACATCACATACAAAATGAATGAAATCACAACATCAAAGTAAAAAGACAACACAATAAATCAGAGCCTTGTCATGTCCCCTATCTTCATATTTATCTGCCATCCATGTTGAACACTGTCAGAGAGCAACAATTGCAAAATGTCTTGTTTTTTTTTTCAAAATCAGGCGAAAATCAATGCGTGCGTTGATGTCATCCATAAAAATTACTTGCTGTGGCCTAAGCCACAAAAACACACACGTATCTGCACAATTAGGATCCATCAGAATTTGACCTTCTGCAGCGCTGTGTAAACAATAGATATCACACGTATGCACGGATAAGATCTCTCAGACTGTGATCTGGCCTTGTGCAGTGCTTTGTAAACATATTCAAGGTAGCATTCTGACTCTCTGGTAGTTGAGAAACTATGGTAACCAACCGTTTCTATATGGGGATAAACAATGAGGATGGGAACTAAACCCTGGGTAATCCTGACAATTAAATATAAAGAATGGCGCAGTTGTTCTCGCATACTAGTGCCCATGTGAAGACAGCGGAGTGCAGTTTGACAATATACCGCTAAGCGGCGCTTCTACCAGGTGGATGGGTTGCTATAACCTCATTGGTTTCTGAGAGATGTGCTACACAAAATTAGCAGCTGCTAACTTGTCAACACTCCTAGCTTTTGTGTCTTGGTATCAGATCATGGTATCATCAAGGACATTATACTGTGTATAATGTCCTTGGTATCATAAAGCGTTACTTGAAATTCCATGTCCAAAATGACCCTTAAACCAAGGAGATAAGAAAACTCCTAGCTTTCTGATAAAAATGTTTTCAATAAAATCTAAGGTGTTCCAAACTACAGTTCTTTCCCCACTTTGAGAAAATGCAAGTAGAAATGATTTATTTGAAACATCAAGTACAATGTTTTTTTAATTTACATATTTTAACACTGTGACAAGATTCTCTCTATATCCATAGTTTTACAGATGTATGTGAAGTTTACAGGACTTACAGAGGTATGTGAAGTTTACAGGACTTACAGATGTATGTGAAGTTTACAGGACTTACAGATCTAGAGGTATGTGAAGTTGTGAAGAATTGTTATACAGACATTCTTCTCTAGTGTTTCACAAAAATACAATAGTTACAATAGTTTTGATATGCAGATTTCTTTACATATTTGCGGATTTTCACAGGTAGGTGGTCAGTGATCCGCCAGGTGTCCCGGTACGTTACCTGTGCTCACCTGAGCTAGACGTATTGTTCAGAACAATAGGATTGTTTCAGATCTTACTGTCCACATTTACACATACACACACCGGGGAGCGGAATGAACATCCGGCCATGAATACTGATTATTAGAAAGTGAATAAGGATGAATGAATTTGTGCTGTGAAACCGACCATAACAATGAGATTTTTAAGATAAAGAAGCCGACATAATGACGTACAACAGAATGTACTTGTAGTTTCTCTGACAACTTTCAATATGGACAAGAGGCTCCAATTAAGCTTTATACAAGCAACCTACTACATTACAAAATTGAAACTCACATAGCACTTTCTACGCCTGATTCCCTGAAACCATGGGTTTAAAATCAAAACTCCTTGCTGAAACAGATGAAAAAATCTATACAATTGATCATATCAAAGAGTTTTAATGTTCTCGTTGCTGCCTATTAAACCGCGGAACAAATAGAGAATTTGTAACAAAAATGTTACTTTTTAGTGTGCTAAAGGTTTAACTGGATGACAAAACTCATTGGTCAGATTCACTCGATAACGGAAAACTCTTGTACACTAAAAGTATGTACTTGTCCCAGTGCAGTTCAGTGTGGTGGTATTCCTGTTTATTTGTAACTGTAGACTTCTACATATAATACCATTGGTGGTCAAATATCATTCTATATTTTGTGCCATGTGAAAAAGAACGCTGACAACAGATTGGGAAAATAACGGAAGAGAAAGTCCCACGCGGTTCTCGGCAGGTAAGAAGGTAATTATCTCACCTGGTGAGGTAGAACAATAGATCATTCATTACCATCTTCATTAGAATAACCATTGTCATCGAACCACCCAAAGATACCGCAGTAATTCAAGGGACAGCCGCCATTTGGTGTGAAAAATGTGATAAAAAACATGGTAAATCAGCAACGGTGTGTGATAATTACTGTCTTTGTACAGTTCAGATATACTTTGTTTTGAGGTATGCATACCTAAAGTTGAGAACAAAACATTGCGATTAACTTCCTCGATAACCTCATGGTAAAGTGCCATTGAACACATAATCGCTATCATATCAAGAACAATCCACAATAAAATGTACCCCTCTTCTACTTTACCTAAACTATAGTCTCTATCAGGCACCGCGGATCGCTGGAAAAATAGAAGAAATTGGCGCAAATAAAGGAATAATGTACCAGGGGAGGTAGCTATTGTTCTCCCTCACCAGGTGAAATAATTACCTTCTTACCTGCCAAGAACCGCGTGGGACTTTCTCTTCCGTTATTTCCCAATCTGTTCTCAGCGTTCTTTTTCACATGGCACAAAATATAGAATGATATTTGACCACCAATGGTATTATATGTGCAAGTCTACAGTTACAAATAAACAAGAATACCACCACACTTAACCGCACTGGGACAGGTATATACTTTTAGTGTACAAGAGTTTTCCGTTATCGAGTGAATCTGACCAATGAGTTTTGTCATCCATTTAAACCTTTAGCACACTAAAAAGTAACATTTTTGTCACAACTTCTTTATTGGTTCCGCGGTTAGGCAGCAACGAGAACATTAAAACTCTTTGATATGATCAATCGCATAGATTTTGTCATCTGTTTCAGCAATGACTTTTGATTTTAAACCCATGGTTTCAGGGAATCAGGCGTAGAAAGTGCTATGTGAGTTTCAAGTTTGTAATGTAGTAGGTTGCTTGTATAAAGCTTAATTGGAGCCTCTTGTCCATATTGAAAGTTGTCAGAGAAACTACAAGTACATTCTGTTGTACGTCATTATGTAGGCTTTATGATAAAGAATCCCTTTATCTTAAAAATCTCATTGTTATGGTCGGTTTCACAGCACACATTAAAGTAATGTACGGTCTTTATTCACTTTCTAATCATTAGTATTCATGGCCGAATTTTCATTCCGCTCCCCGGTGTGTGTGTGTGTGTGTGTATGTGTAAATGTGGACAGTAAGATTTGAAACAATCCTATTGTTCTAAACAATACGTCTAGCTCAGGTGAGCACAGGTAACGTACCGGGACACCTGGCGGATCACTGACCACCTACCTGTGAAAATCCGCTAATATATAAAGAAATCTGCATGTCAAATCTATTGTAACTATTGTATTTCTGCTAAACACTGGACGAGCCCGTGTAACAATTATTCACATATCTCTCTAATGACTGGATTGAAAGGCTGTGTGAAAATGTGTAAATCCAAAAACAGTGTACTGAATGCTTTAAAAAGATTCGGCAAGAAGTTGACATAGGAATGTGAAGCGACAAAAGAAAAGCAATCGCACTACACTAGTACTAAATTGCTGCCTTAAAGAAATAAGAAAAAATAGATTAAAACCATCCAGACTTCTTTGTCCATTCCTGAAATATATAATGCGGTAAGATGAGGGAGGAGGGAGGGCTTATGTGCAAGCTACGATAGCTGGGAAGAAGGACATATCATTACGAAATGGTATGCATCTTCAACTATAGTTTACATGTAGTCAAGACTTCAGTACGGTAAAAATTGAAGTTGTTCCGATATGAATAAATTATGTATGACTTCAATACACACACCAGGCGCGGGTGTATAAAGGACCTTACCGACACATGTCGGTACCTATGTCGGCGGTCTGTCCTTTGTTCTTCACATGGCACCGTAACGCGCGGTACAGCTACAGATACGGGAACGTTTGATTAAATGTTTGTTCTGTAGAGTTGTTGTTTTATCTTATAAGTTGTCTGCTTCAAGTTAGGTACATGTATGTTCATGTTGTCGGCCAAAGCAAGTACTCAAACTTTGTATTCACAGTACATAATAGAATCACACAATGCAACGTTACCACAAGGGCATCATCTGTATAATATCCTTGGTTACCCTAATATCAACTTATATTACATATACTTACATATAAAATATAAGCTAGAACTGATAGTATATATCTTGAGACGTATGTTAAACTTAAGGGAGAGAAAGAGTCTGCTTCAAGTTAGGCATGTTGGAACGTTCAAGTGTTGTCGGTCAAACTACTAGTTGTCAAACTTTGTATTCACAGTACAAAATAGAATCAAAGAATGTAACGTTACCCTAATATCAACTCATATGTATAACACAGACTTCACAAAATATACGCTAGAACTGATGGTGTATATCATAAGATGTACGTTAAAGGAAAGTTGCGTTGTGGAAAGAAGGGTCAGATCATCACTCAGATGCACTTATATCTTTGAAGAAAGCTCGATTAACGCTAAAAAAAGCATTTACGAAACCAGCCTCGACATGTACTCACAACCCGTCAATGTTTCTTACATGCAAGATGTTTGAAATATTCATAATTCAAGGATTCGACATCGAGTAATTATATGGGTATAGGTAACGAAGGAGTTATACGTATTGCGTCACGTTGAAAAACGAATGACATCTGGTTAAAAATTCCCGGACACAATTTAATATTTGCTCAAGAGAACAATAACACCTACACCTGCACGAAGAACAATAGCACCTCTACAGGTATCTGCTTGAGGTATTCAACTTTCTATCGACGATCCTACATGAAATCCAATGTAAGGACAGACACAGATTTCTGAAAGGGAGGGAAGCATTCAAAACTTTTTGATTCATAATATGTAAGGAAATGAAAACGTGGTATCTTCGGTGTGGGAAAATGATGGTATTAATGTTCTTTGTTCCAAATGAGAGTTGTTATTGCTATGTTCGGCGTCTTGATTGAAGTTTTAAAAACTTCCCGACAAGGCGTCACAAGTGGCTTTGAAGTGTAGTCTGTAATTATTAATATAACACAAAATTTATACAAAAATAACACGGGAAAAATTCTCAAGTAAAGAACAAAGGATTTGGCTTGTTGCTGTGTTTGGTCCTGTTTGACGTGGGACGCGCCGCCGGCAAAAGCCGACTTGTCGGACCGGTCGGACCGCCGGCATCTCTTGGGGCGCTCCTCGGGAACATCTGCCGCACGTGGCGCCGATACTTACCGCCTTTGTTAGTCAATCACTTTTGTCGGAAAAATTGCCCATAAAACCGCCCCACGTCTTCAGTCCGCACTCACTTCTCTCCAGACTTCCACCGAGAGCGTGCCGACTTCTTCCCGACTTCAGTTCCACACGTCTTTGTTCCTGACGACATGGAGAGAGCAGCCGACTGTCCCCGTCCCGCAGGCTACTCCGGGTCCCGGGCCGAGTGGGTCCTGAAGAGAGCCAACGACTTCGACACCAAGGCGCGGTCGTTCCGCTGTGGTCGGTGCGAGCAGCCGGCGGCCTGGGTCTGTCTGGACCCGGTCTGTGTGTCCTACAACCGCGACAGAGTGGTACCGCTGTGTGACAGCTGCGACAAGCGGTGCCACCCGACCTCCAGCCCCGCCATGCACAGCCACCGCCGCCTGGGAGTCGTCCTCTACATCTCCATGCTGATGCTGCACCGCTACCAGAAGGTCGTCGGTCTCGTCATGACGGCTTCTCCCGCCAACAGTCGCCCGTCCACCCCCGTCTCCACCCGCCCTGACGAGGTCACCTCCTCCCAGTCTCCGACAACCTCAGCCCGGCCTTCCTCCGTCCTGTCACCGCCAGTGTCTCCGGTATCGTCCCTCCCACCCAGCCCTGACAGCACCGTGAGCAGCACGAAGAGAAAGCGGTGCAGCGACGACATCGAGCCCGAGCCCGTCGCCAAGGTGAGCCGTACCGAGTCTACCGACCGCTCGGGCCGCTTCTCCCTCGCCGCCGACCTGCGACCCATCCACGAGTCGTACGGCCGGATCCTGAAACGTCTGAGGGCGGACCGGTCTCTGTCCGTCTCCGAGGCCTGCATCCACGAACCTTTCGGCAAGCTGACCGTCAGAAACTACGCCGCCATCGCCGAGCTGAAGATCGCTGACGCCAAACTCTACACCTCCGTGCTGGACAGCTACATGAAGCAGGGCGACGGGAGCGGCACGCTGTCGGGGTTCGAGCGGGAGTGTCAGCAGGTGTTGTCCGGGTTCGTCCAGCAGGTGGCCGCCATGAGGACCAGGGGAGAACTCTTGCCCAGCTCTCAGTAAAGACTCAAACCAAAGACTCTGTCCAGAAAACCAAAATGCTGTTTTTAAAATGTATGCAAAAGCTGAATTGTATAACCACATTATACCAGCACTAACAACACTGGTACTCATGTATATAATGTATATATAAGATGTAAATATTGTACGTTTTTGTTAAGTTGAAACCGTTGTCAAGGCTGCAATGTTAACCACTTGTTGATTTGTTTGAACATTCTTATGCACTCAAGACTGCCATGTTTGAGAATAAAAAGTCAGCACCTTATTATTTGATTGTCTTTGTGGTATTTCTATCAGAGGTTCGGTTACAGTATCTGTTGAATGAGCTAGGAATATTTGAATATTGGAAAATCTTAGTATATACTAAGTGGCATATACATACATTTGTATTCTAAAGTAGTATTAGTGGTAAAATTCCTTGCCATCGACAGAAAAAAAAGTAGGAGCCAACAAAATCTTATTTCGAAGTCAGAGTAAACTTGATGGTATGTTACGTCCTAGCTTTGGCATATGGCGTAAGTACATAATAGTTTTCAGACAGATCGAGACAAAAATGTAGAATAGAGACACCATAGCAAGAGCTACTAGTATGCAGTGGAAATTTTGAACACGCCATTGGTATACACCTTTCAAACCCCACATAGATGGTCACTGATACCTGTGGTTACCATCTTGTATTAGGGTTTAATTGTAAGTTGTTAATATTCGTACAAAAAGACCCCTCCCACCATATATTAAGTGAAATAATAAGGACCGCCTGTTCTAATATTAGTAGTAATTACAGAGATACACCCTATGCTCTGCGAACTCCCAATAGTAACGCATCTTCAAGGGGGACACTTTTGATTCTCTACCACATACATGGGGTACACACAAACAGCTCTTTTCGTCATTTCGTCAAATTTGGAAAGATAATAAGGAATACCACTCTCCGAACGAAAGTATGCATTTCAACAGCGCAGCACAATTTTTGCGGAAACTCCAGTTTGGTCGCCCTAGAGCGTTCAAGAATAATTAGATGGCATTCAGAGCCCTATCCTTGGTACAACTGATTTCTCCATTACAGTTGAACGAACGGCGGAAGTTTTCCACGCTCCATTGTTCTCACCGTTATTTCAAAATGGCGCCCCACGGTCCCGTACAAATGTCGTCATCATTACGTCATTACATCGCGGCTGTTATCGCCTCATTTTCAGCTTCTCTTCAGGAAGTTTTGTTTGGATTTCCGTGTTTTTTTAATCACATTTTTCACACCCAATGATCCAAAACCCTTGATGTAGCGCCGGGCTTGTTTGGCGGTACCAAAGACAAAGACATGACGGTAATGACGTGTCCTTTGTTTTACCTGTCCAGGTGAGTTTTCCCGCCGTTTGACGATCTACGTGTGTGGTTGGATTTTCAAACCTTCACATGCAGTTAGTGAGCTACTAGTACGTTCACGTTTCATGTCTGAAACCATTCCAGTTTCAAGTACACAAAGCCACATATTTTAATGTCTAGATCTGTGCTTCGTATCATTTGAGCAAGAATTTGAGTTCAGCAAGGCAGTTCCAGAAAACTAAAGCGGTACAACCAAGGCCTTCGTACAACCAAGAGGTTCAAACACCGTTTTTTTGTGCCGATTGAACATTTGAACCACCTTGCATAGACCACAAAAAGCACATAAATCACACAAACATGTTGTAAGTGAACAAATAGAATGAACTTGGTAGAAACATACATTGGAATATTGGAATAGGAAGACTTGTTTTCTGTACCTTGGCATGGGGACTCATGGATTAGTACTTGGAGTTCTTTTTTTTATCTTACATGGTTCAAGAACAGTAAACAATAGATAATTATCTGTCCATGTGTGATGAGTTGATTCTCGCCTGTATGATACCTGTAGTGTGACATGTCACAGACCCGGACAACTGGCAACACTTTCTTCACACCGACGCGAAACTTTACATCACACCTGTTTTATTCAAGCGGTGCTTTTTACTTTTTGTAATGATGATGAAACAAGTGTTTGTTTTCTTTTCATGGACATTCCACAAAAGGATTATTTTCCATACGTCCCAGACAGACATACCGACATTTTGATTTTTCCTTGTATTGCCGCACTTTCATGTGTATTGTGTGACATGTATTTGTTTTGTTCTACTAGTATATACAGCAAGGTGTGTGTGTGTCGTTAAGGCAAAATATTCCAGCGTAATACATCTATATAGTGTGCTTTTTAACTATGACGATACATGTATACGTCTAGACATGTACGTCTACAGTAGCGTTATATCTTGTAGCTAAGTCATGATGTGTATTACTCGTTAAAGTAGAGACATGGAAACTCTATTGTCACCAGCCTGTAAGAACGGAACCGGCAATTATAACGTCTATCGGCGCGGCGGGAAAATATGGACAACTTGGCATTGTTGATGCAATTACCCCGTCAAATGTAAAGAAAACAGCGTCGATTTGCATGAAAAGCGTCGTGATAATTGCTGACTGTAAAATTGCTACTAATTAGAGAGAAATACGAGAATGGCTTTTGTCACAAACTTCACGAAACTTTGAAGAGAACGCATTCACATTTTGCTGGAAGAAAAATGCAAGCAAAACGTACAGAAAACATGTCACTTTCAGTACCTTCACTAGCATCAATGGGGTTTAAAACTCTTAAACCTCCTTGCTAGCATGTTCATGATTCTTATTTCTTTACCATACTATACCATACCATACCATACCATACCATACCACATATTTTAATGCGTACATTTTTGCTTTGTACAATCTGAGCATAAACCAAGTTGGGTCAAACACAAACACCGTGCTTGAACCTCCTTGCATTTGCTAAAGCCTCTGTCACACATTCAGAACCATTTCCTGACCACCAACCAATTTTGGGACTCGTGGATTGCTACCTGTAGCTTTCTTTTCTATGTTGCATTGTTCAAGAACAGTTAACAATAGATAATTATCTGTCCATGTGTGATGAGTTGATTCTCGCCTGTATGATACCTGTAGTGTGACATGTCACAGACCCGGATAACTGGCAACACTTTCTTCACACCGACGTGAAACTTTACATCTCACCTGTTTTATTCAAGCGGTGCTTTTTACTCTTTGTAATGATGATAAAACAAGTGCTTGTTTTCTTTTCGCGAAAATTCTACAAAAGGATTATTTTCCATACGTCCCAGACAGACGTACCGACATTCTCTGCTAACTTAAAGCTTGTTCCTTTATATCGCCGCGTTGATGTGTATTATGGGGTAACCGTTTGTTTCTGCCCGAGAGTAAAATAACGAGATGAAATCGACGTTTCCAATTAAGATTTAGAAATAATAAGCAAACTTTCAGTCTACCGGTATTTGCGCCCCCCACACGCAGTTAGGCTTACTTACTTACTACATATGATTTGTTGACCGTTTTCAAAATCATATCCAGTGGCGTGTCAATGAGTAACTGTTGTATCTTATTTATCTATTACCTAGATGTCGACCCTCTATCGACTTTTCAGCATATATATATATCCAAAGAACACACACACACACACACACACACACACACACACACACACACACATATATATATATATATATATATATATATATATATATGCGTGTGTGTGTGTGTGTGTTCTTTGGATAATGAAGTAACATGTTTTTGTTGTGTTGTGTTATATATGGACTAACATAGACCAAGGAGCTCCTTGCATGGACTAACATATTAGTTGATACAAGGAGGTTGGTACTGGTAGCATTTTTTCTTCAAGAAAAATGTGAAAGCGTTTCGTGAAGTTTGTGACAAAGGCAATTAGTAGCAATTTTACAGTCAGCAATTAGCACGACGCTTTTCATGCAAATCGACGACGTTTTCTTTACATTTGACGGGGTAATTGTTCCAACAATGCCAAGTTGTCCATATTTTCCCGCCGCGCCGATAGACGTTATAATTGCCGGTTCCGTTCTTACAGGCTGGTGACAATAGAGTTTCCATGTCTCTACTTTAACGAGTAATACACATCATGACTTTACTACAAGATATAACGCTACTGTAGACGTACATGCCTAGACGTACAGTATCGTCATACTTAAAGGTACACTAGCTGTATTACGCTGGAGTATTTTGCTTTAACCAAACACACACACTATGTTGTATGTAAAAAGACAAAGGAATGCACCCAATACACACAAAATCAAATATCGGCATGTCTGTCTGGGACTTATGGAAAATAATCCTTTTGTGGAGTGTCCATGAAAAGAAAACAAACACTTGTTTCATCATCATTACAAAAAAGTAAAAAGCACCGCTTGAATAAAACAGGTGTGATGTCAAGTTTCACGTCGGTGTGAAGAAAGTGTTGCCAGTTGTCCGGGTCTGTGACATGTCACACTACAGGTATCATACAGGCGAGAATCAACTCATCACACATGGGCAGATAATTATCGATTGTTTGCTGTTCTTGAACCATGCAAGCTACAAAAGAAAGCATACCAGTGCATTTAAGAACTCCAGGTACTAATCCATGAGTCCACACGCTGACAGAAACCAAGTCTTACTATTCCAATATTCTAATTTCTCTACCAAGTTCATTCTACTTGTTTCTAATTTCTCTACCAACTTCATTCTACTTGTTTCTAATTTCTCTACCAAGTTCATTCTACTTGTTTCTAATTTCTCTACCAAGTTCATTCTACTTGTTCACTTACAACATGTGTGTGTGTGTGATTTATGTGCTTTGTGTGGTCTATGCAAGGTGGTTCAAATGTTTCATCAGCACAAAAAACGGTGTTTGAACCTCCTTGGTTGTACCTCTGGAACTGCCTTGCTGAACTCAAATTCTTGCTCAAATGATACGAAGCACAAATCTAGACATTAAAATATGTGGCTTTGTGTACTTGAAACTGAAATGGTTTCAGACACGAAACGTGAACGTATCAGTAGCTCATTAACTGCATGTGAAGGTTTGAAAATCGAACCACACACATAGATCGTCAAACGGCGGGAAAACTCACCTGGACAGGTAAAACAAAGGACACGTCATTACCGTCATGTCTTTGTCTTGGTACCGCCAAAAAGCCCGGCGCTACATCAAGGGCTTTGGATCATTGGGTGCGAAAAATGTGATAAAAAACACGGAAATCCAAACAAAACTTCCTGAAGAGAAGCTGAAAATGAGGCGATAACAGCC